GCAGCACCGTTAGGCGGAGGGGGCGGGGGCGGAGGCGGTGGTCCTGCTGCCATGCCTGCTTGCGGGGCTGGCGGCGGCGGTGGTGGTGGTGGTGGCGGCAGAGGACCTTCCGCACTGTCTGAGACTGTCGATCGTGGCATCCCGGGAGCAGGTGGCTGAGGTGGGGGAGGTGGTGGTGGAGGAGGAGGCAGCCCACCAGCAGCTCTCTCACGTGCAGCCGCGGTAAGTGCTGGCGGCGGCGGCGGCGGCGGCGGCGGCGGAAGAGGTGGACCCGCACCTGGAGCCATAGAGGTGGTACTAGCTGCAGCCGAGGTAGGTGGCAAGGGTGCGGGCCTGACTGCACCATCATTAGCTGGGGCAGCAGGTGGACCAGGCGGCCTCGGGGCTTGACGGTGCGCCGGTGGAGCAGGTGCAGCTCGATCTCCCATACCTGCAGGCTGAATCTGAAGCTGCAGCAGCAGCGCTTGCAGCTTGGCCATCTCGCTTTTGAGCTTGGCGATCTGCTTGTCCTTCTCACCCAATTGGCTCTGCAACGCCTCCGTCTGCTCTGTCGACTTGGCTGCCTCCGTGGATTCGAGCATCTTCTCCTGAAGTTTGGCGATATCGGTCCGGAGATCGGAAATCTCGGCGTCTTTCTTACCGAGGGCCTCGATAGTGCGGCGCGCCATCATATCTGCCTCCATCTCTGAGTTGGCCGCAGATGTGGCGCCCTTGGCAGCCTCTTGCTCCTTGTCCTTCGCATCTGCTTCCTCCTGAGCCTGCGCAATGCCGTTTTGGAAGCGTCCATAGACCGTCTCTAGGGCACGCTTGAGGTATTTGATCTCCCTCTCTTTGGCCTCGGCGTTGGCTTCGGCGCCAGCAAGCTGCTCCTTGTGACGTGCGATCTCATCCATGAGGTTCGTCCACTGTCGGTTGCGCTCCAGTCGATCCTTTTTGGCTCGCTCATCTCCGTCAGTGCGCTCGTTCGGGCGCGCGGCGGAGGAAAGGCGGTCAAGTTCCGCTTGCAGCTCGATGACCTGCTTCTCCTTGGCAACAAGTCGTTGGATGACGCCGGCGAAGCTCTCCTTGTCGCCTCGCTTGGGTAGTGTAGACGGCACTCCCGAAGGAGCGGCGTCCTCGTCAGCAGCGTCCTTGCGAAGCGCGGAGGCACCAGGCAAGCTTCGAAGTGTGATCACCTCGGCTGTCTGCTCGTTCAATTTGGTGCTCAGCTTGGCCTTGTCATCGCTGAGCTCCTCGACTTTGGCACGCAATCCTTCGAGCTCTTCGATGAAGCTACTTGGAACGGTGCTCGTGTCGCTCATCCTGTTAGCCTTAATCATGGCTTGCTTTCCGACCAAATGCTGGATGTTGGCGAGGTAGGAGCGCATAAATATCCTCCAGCCTTCGTCAAAGTCGGCGACGTCGACGGATTGCTCAACGTACTTGTCCACGACAAAGAGCAGGTCGGCCTTGAACTGATGGTCGATATCGCGGTCCAGGATGCTCGACGTATGACGGAGGATCGAGATCATGATAGGGTAGAGATCTTCGTGCGAATCCTGTGCAGATCGCAGAATGTCGCCGGCTTCGCCAAGCTCCGACATGGCATCGCGAACTTGTTCGCGATCGGGCATGTGCAACGCACGCTCGGGGAGCTCGTCTTGGTCTTCTTGCTTCTCCTCGACGTACACCTGAATCTGTGTCGCCAAGCTCTCGGGAGGGTCGACGTAGCGCAAAGACACGAGCACTTCGTTGAGACCGCGACGAGCGAATTCATCTCGCAGCGCGACTCTCTCCTCCAAATCCTCTGGACTGTTGGTGATGGCATTGATCAGCACCATGGCTGCCGCTTTGTACTCCCACTCAATGGCCTCGTTAGCATCTGCGTCCTCGAGATCGGCGGAAGCGTCCCAGCCATCGCCGAGTAAGGCGCCAGAAGCATCCGGCTTAAGATCTTCCACCAAGAAGGCGAATCGGAAGCGCTCGCCAGAAACGATCTTGAGCTCCGACAGAGCACCACAGACCAAGCGATGGCCGTCTTCGAGCGAGAGCACGCACAAGGCGGCAAGCACATCAGCGACCTGGAGGCGCAGCTTGTACGAGGGGGAGCGGAGGGCAAAGGCGATCGAGTTGACCAGGTTGGGTTGCCCCAGAACCTTTTCGAAGCCGAGCTCGATGTTCATGAGCGTCCGCAAGCACTTGATCGCCTCAAGCAGGATAGCGTCAGACATGTCTTTGCGTTCCAGTTGCTTTGACCGATTGCTACCTAGCCCTCCAACGATGCCGTCGGTCTCTTGCTGCATGATCACTTCAAGTGCTCCCAGTCCGTCGCAGTGCAAGAAGCTGTCGATCCAAGATAGCTTCGCGCTGCTCAAAGTCACCCGCAACGAGAGGAGGTGCTTGAAGAGGTCCTTGCGACTCAGCTTGCTTTCCTTGAGCTTATGGACGTGGGCCATCGCTGCAGTCCTATCGTCGCCGGTGTCTGCACCGTTCGCAGCGCCTGCGATCATGCTGCCTCCAACCCACCAGCTGCTCCACAGGCTCGCGGCCACGCCGGCGCTGCTGCCGGTGTGATGCGCCCTGATGGTGGTGTTATTGTCGCCGTTGGCCTGCACTTTTGAATCGATCGATCCGATAGAGCCGGTCTCGGACATCATTGTAGTCGGACGCGTGCTGCCATTGGATCCGTCGGCAGATGAACCCACGCGTGGACTCGCGCCGCCATCGCCGTCTTTGGCTGAGCCTGGACCGGAGCCGTGCGTGTCGCTGGTCGCCCACGTTGCGATGCTCGAGATGCTGAAGCGGTTGGACCAGCCCGTGGCAATGACGGAGCTGCGACCCATGGTCTCCGAGCTGGTACTCGGCGTTGGCGAGCCTGGCTTGTCGCCTTGTAGAGCGATACGCGACTTGGACGGTGTCGACATCCTGGCTGCTTCGTTCTGGCTGATGAGGAACCGTTTGCGATCGTCAGGAAGGGCGAGCATAGCTGTGCGGCTGGTACCCTTGATGCCCAAATCGCGCATGAGCTTGTCGAACCTCGCTGCGAGCTCTGCCGGGTCGTCGAGGCTGTCTGGTACGGGCGAGAGCTGTTGAAGTGAGGAAATTGACGGCGATCTGGAAACACTGCTGCTGTCACTCTCGAGCTCGAGCGGTCCACTGACACTGAACGTCTTGCCGCTCCTACCAACGGTTCCAGGGACACGACGAGCGTTTGGATTCGTCGGCGTCTCTGGCATATCGGCAGCTTGAGTGTCTCGCTTACTGGGCGACGTGGGTGAAGGTGGGTCGCCGCTACCTCCGATCCAGCCTTCAAACATCCTGCTTAATCGCGCTGTAGCCGACGGAGGCTGATGACGGCGACCTTTGGGGATGTTGACAGCGGAATCGGCAGAGGTATCAGCCGCTGTTGTCGAGCTGTCGTCGTTTTGCGCGTCGCTAGGCAGCGAAACATCATTCTGAGCCGGCGTTGGTGGCTTGCTACCTTTGAGCGTGCCTCCCGCCTCGTCCTCGTCGTCTTCGTTCGACAGTCTAGCAGAATTCAGCTCTATGGAAAGTGCATCGAGATCCGCATCGCCCGTCGAGGTCGACTTTGCCTGCGTAGACGGTGTGAAGGCGGACGGCAGAAGAGCAGCTGTAGCCTTGCTGACGCTCGCAGAGCCCCACAAGCCAAGCATACCCGCTTTCGCACCCAAGTTTTTGGTTGGAGAACCTGCGCGAGCGGGCTGCCCAGGATCGACAGTTGTTGATGGCCCGGGAGCGGCTCCGTTGGATCCCTGTCTGCGAGCATGCTTGGAGAACCCCTGAGCAACGGTGCCGAGCTTGTTCAGCCAGCTTGCACTGATGGTGAACATGAGGCTAGGGTCTGATGCGTCTATGCTGCGTAGCAATTGTGGGAGAGATGCTGCATCTGGCAGTGGTGAGGGCGGTGGCATGGGCGCTGGTGCAGAAGCTGGTGTTGATGGAAGTGGTGCGAGTGCATAGATCACACGAGCCGATTTGCTGCCTTGGAGAACAACCCTTCGAATGCCAAATTCTTCGCAGACGGCCTCGACAGCTTCTGCCACGGTGGATCCGACACCACTGGCGCCTGGAGTCGCGACGTCGGCAGGAAGAAACAGGATCCTCTGATCCCAGCCGTCGTAGATCTCGGGAACATGGCCGAAACGAAGGCGCACCCTAAGGCCGGGCGCGCCACACACCAGTCGAAGGCGCGGCGTATGCAAATGCGAGGAAAGCAGAAAGTCGGAGAAGGCCGTTGGCGAGGCCAGGTCGGCAGCTGATCGCGGTTCGGTGTCGCTCTCTGCTTGGTTGGCTCCATGGGCAAGGCAGCGAAGGAACCCAAACACGCCGGTCTGCAATGATACCAAGCCGTCATCGATGGCTCTGAGTTGGTGCTCTTTCCATTCATAATTGGGCTCCGTCAATTGGACAGCCTGAATGCCCCAGAGCTGACCCTGATGATCTATCAGCCATTTCGGAGAGCTTTCAAAGTCGTTGGAGGTAGCCGACGTCCACGGCTGAAAGTGGGTTCCGAATGCTGCTGTGAGGTGTTTTGCGTTGGTAAGATCGGTGAGAAGCGCGACGATGAGATCCTGGATTGAGGTTGATGCAGACGATGGGACCGAAGCGGAGAGGATGGCAGCGTTGCCCGGCAGGAGCACCTGCAGCAGCTCGCGCCCTGCCATGTCGGTCGGAGAAACGCGATCTGTTGACCACTCTGGCTGTCCAAGCAGAGATTGGCGTGGGTTCGTGCAGCGCTCTCTGGAAAAGGTGGAACGGCAGCGTGTGATCAGATCGGCGATGCAAGCATCGTCGCAAGATGTGCGGCCCGGTTATGCTGAGGGAGCAGGCAGCCAGTACCGGAGAGAAGGAAGTGCTGGGTCCGGTGGAAAAGTGCGGCAAGTCGTTCGGCAGCTGCGTCGGTTGAAATGGTGACTGCGCGATGCGAGATGATGGTGTTGGCTCAACAAAGTGTGTTGCTCACAGCTCATGTACGCTTTCGGGACGAACGCTAATTTCTCAGGAAGCACACGCCGCTCATCGGCCTCTTTCCAAACAATCAAGCGGTGAGCTGCTTTGCGCTCCCTGCGCCCGTCCAGTCAACTTTGTCTTGTTCATTCCATGCATGACGAGAATCCTTCTCGGCACCTCCGCAGGCTTCGACCTGTATCCCACGCCGTTTCAGAGATGATCGTAATGAAGGCCCTGAAGGGATCAAGCAGTGCAGCAGCGTTGGTCAACTGCAGGAACGCGAGCTTGATTAGGAAAGTGTTGGTCTCGCTCGAATTCTCCTGCCGCCTCGCCTCGGCGTTGGCTTTCACCTGCCACGCCATTCAGCGCGCAGCTGCCGCATCATGCGATTGCCTTTTGTATTCTTTGATCTTGGTAATGCTTCGTTCTCAGAAACCGTATCACAGCACTCCTGGGTAGCCAGAGTTGCATTGTCAGAGAGAGCGGCTAGATGTCAAAGTGCTTCTATGACGGCGAGGCCGAACCTCCGACAGCAGCAGGCGAAGGCAAACAAGGGTTCAATGCGGAACAGGCTGTTTTGCCCTGTAGCCCCTGTCTCGCGTACCGCGCAGCAACCCCACGCGTACAGTTATTCTCTCGTACGATTCGAAAATCTTCGCAAGGCTCGCATCACGTGAAGCTTGGCTGAGAAGAAAGGTCAGCGAGAGTGCACTTTTTGCGAGTCGTTCTCACTCGAGACCACCTTTGGTGCAACGACGACACCACTTCTCAGCATCAAAGGACCCCCCGTCACCACCTGCAGAGGAGCAAGGAGTCAGCAGCAACACTCGAACACCATGCCACGACGAATTCCTTCACAAGTACCGCAGACCGTTTCCAGGTTGCTCGAATCCGGCTTCCTCAAACAGCCTCCCGCATGGTTCGAGGCGGTGAACAACCATCCTCCCGTCGCAGTCCCGGCTCGTCATCCCCTGAAACGTCCAGATGAGGACCTCCCTGTCCGTCTTCGTGCGTCCCAACAGACGGGTCTCGCCAAGGTTGGATCCTCGTCCAAGTCTGCTTCCACTGCTGGATCCACGGCTCATGGCCGTGACACAACCAACTCGAAGAAGAAATCTCGCACGTTGACACCCAAGCTCACACCAAAGCCGATCGTATACGACGAGGATAGGATCCGACAGCAATTCTTCCGTGACCATCCATGGGAAGCCTACCGACCAAAGATGCTCGTCGAGATGAGCGACCGAGTGGGAGGCGAGACCCGCGTTCACGGCGACCCCAAGCGACTTCGCTCGTACGGCCGCAATCCGAGCGTCGAAGACTTTGTCGCCTGCACCCTTGCGGCGCACCGTCAAGGTGGCCTCTCGCTGTCGCAAGCATACCACAACACCCTTTCGTCGTACCATGGCCTCAAAGCCGAGCACGAACACGCAACCCGCTACGCCGTTCTCGAAGCAAAGTACTATGGCGCCGACCTCGGCAAGACCGAGACGCAGCGAGGATTCGAAAAGGAGGACAAGGCGCTCGAGTCGTGGGCTGCATGGGCCGCTGGAGGAGCCGCGAGCGGAGATGCCGCCAACGCCACGGATGTGCAGCAGACCAAAGCGGTGAGGGTCAAACGCACCGATCAGACTTTCACTTCGGGCGATGCGTACCTCGAAGCAGCAAAAGCCTTCAGGGAAGGCAAGATCAGCCCCGAAAGATTGGACAGCGGTGCACAAATTGCCTCGAGCCCGGGTTCGACTCCCTTTGCCGACGGAAGCGGCCTCGCCTCGACGGCACAAGATGCAGACGACTTCCTCGGGCTGGCCAAGTCGGCCATGCGGGCTGCCGAGGCCTCCAACGGCGAGGCTCCATCCACACCTGCAAGCAGATAGGCCTACACACTGCGCTTCACCGTTGTCAGCTGTCCTGCCGCTTCCACCATGCAATTCTATCGTACATCATGTCACCGTATGACCTTGATGTGCAGGCAGCAAATCACCTTTGAATGCCTGGAATGTGTCTGATGAGAATCCCTGTCAATATGACTGGACCTGCCCTTCCCCATGCTTGCTATGTTGTGAGAACAAATTCGATTCGGAGAGGTGAGCCACTACCAGCGATGAAGACTGCCTCGAACGAAGCAAACACGGCCATAGCTTCACCAAAAATAGTCGCGATACGGATTGTGCAAATGAGTAAAAAAAAAGGTGGCAGCAAAATGGGGAAAAAAAAGAACTGCAGCACCTAGGATTCCCGCGTGGTCCCCCACCGCAGTACTGACTAGGCGGTAAGTTGCTTAACTTCGCAGATCGGACGGGATGCGGTGTTTTCAACTTCCTGTGGCCGCAGATGTCTCGAAGAGTGGAACAGCAAATCATGAACTCTGTTTTGTGAGGAGAGGAAAAACAGCTGTGGAATCTGTTCATCTATCGTAGTACTACTGCATCTTTGCTTGATCGACACTGTGCAGATGCGGTGAGGTTTCAAGCCTGACAAGTGATCTCGTGTTACAGAGCAAAGGCCTTCGAGGATTACGATTGAATGAGATTGCATCGCAACGGGGCTTGGCGTACGCTTGCATCTCAACCTCACCGTGCTGTGAGTGACAGCGGTCACCACAAGCAAGAGCGATCCTGACCATGCAAGCATGACGTCGACGTGCTCATCAACATCAGCCTGCAGATGAACATCGCGAGGTCGTCTACGGAATCCAGGCTGCTGAAGCGTCATTAATGGTACCCGCAAGCGAAGTGATGGTTCACCTTGAGGCAAGTCAGGCAGCATAAGCCATGAAGTCTGCGAGACTCCCGTATTCTGAACCGACCTTCCGGGTGCAGTGGCAGAAGGACACTCTCGATCTCATCTGACCGCGATCTTTGGCTCCGATGTTGGCCGTCGACATGCCAAGGTACGCTAGAGCAGCATCAATCAGCGACATTGCCAAGGCCCTGCTTGCATTGTCTGAGGGGGAGTTGCGGAATTCCGTTGGGCTCGGCGAAAACTCGTGAAAATTCAAAGGCAGAAGCAAATTCCGCTTGCCGCTCGGTCTCGGTGTTGGTTTCGGTCGAGGGAGCGTGCGCGATCATGATCCGGCGGTGTTTGCCAAGACTTTTGGAACGGATCTGCGTCCAGGCTCAGCCACTGTTCTTTTCGGCTGCAACACACACCGCCGTTTCGCTTCGCTTTGCGTTGGCTGTGTTGTTCTTGTTCTTCATTTGTTTGTTTTCATCGAGACGAACAGTCCTGTTCAAGGTTCAGGATAAGTATCTTGGCCTCGAGCAGTACCGCACCGGTGTATAATATAAGCTCTTCGCATGGTCGATCTCTCGACGACCATAAGCCTTTGCCTGGAGGAGCGACCTTTGCGGTTGCAAGTCGTGTCTGCAGAGGCGAGAAAGCGAGAAAGAGGAAAAAAAAACCACCGACGCGTCTCTGCTGCAAGCCACGCCAGCGCAACACTTGTCGAAAGACGCTGACAAGGAAACCGTCCACTCGTCTGGCTCCCCTGAATGCAGGTGCATGTGAGGACAGCATTCTCAGAAGGGCTTGGCACAGATTCATGCCAGCCTTGTTTGGCTCTGGTTTGGGGCAGTATCCCCTCGGCTGCTTTGCCTCCGCTCCCCTTTCTGCAGGCAACCTGCGGCAACTCGACGACGTGTCGGACGTGCTGGTCTTGGCACTTCCAGTACCACACCAGCGCCTTCAGCCCGTTTCCAGATGCTCAAGATCCTGAACCTCTCCACTTATCGTCTCTTGGTGTGTTGGCGTCGACAGCTTGTTGTGTCCACTCGGTTTACTTTTGCGAGAGAGATGTGTTTATCGTCACACAAAGGGAGCTGGCAAACAGTGAGATGTGGGCGTGAGGAGGACGAGACGAGACGAGAGCGAATCGTGCTGTCACCGCAACTTGCTCGGCTTGCATCCGAAGCGTACTACAGTAGGACTGAGGGACACTCCGCTGGTGCCCTCGTGCAGATCGAGTCCATCGCTTCGCATCCATGCTCGCCCTCAGTTTCAGCAACAGCCGCGTTCTCTGCACTTGCTCCGCTCGATAGGCGTCGTATCATCCGACAACGCTGATCCGCCGCCGGACAGATTGGGCAACTCCATCACAGGGGCTCCGGCGTCTTGGCCGTGACTGTTCCTCCGGGAAAGCCTGCTCTGCAGTGTGTGCTTGTGGGCGTGAGTGCATGTATAGGGAGACATTCCAGACCTCTTGAAACAGTCGGCAGCTCCGCCTAGCTTCCTTCCCCTCCTCCTCCATCAAATCAGCATCCTCTCCTTCACCCACTTCCTCTCCGTCTCTGCTCCTCCCTTTCATCGTTCTTGGCAGTCGACTTCGCATCGTCTGCTATAAACACAGTCTTTACTGCTCACTCCTTCCCGTTCCCTTATAGACCCTGCCTGACCACACTTTAGGCCTCGTTCTGAAGTCCTGCTCGATCGTTGTCCGTACTATTTTGTAAAGTGGACGTCTTTCAGCATGCGTCTTTCCGCCATCACTCTTGGAGCAGTGGCTCTGGGCGCTCCTCTCGTCTCTGCTGCCACACGCCACGAGCGAGGCCTTGTCGACCCTTCGCAGCACCCTGCCGGTCACCTCTTCCAGAAGCGTGACCACCATGGCATCACCAAGCGTCAGCTCGCCACCACTTCCAAGAACGGCATGCCATACCCTCCTGCCGGCTCTGACCCGCCTCCCGCCAGCTCGCTTCCCCAGGCCTGGATTGACCGATACAACCAAAAGAAAAACGCGGGCCTCATCCCCAATATCCCCCGATCCATCACCGACCCCAACACACGTGCCACCGTCTACCCTGCCGGCACCGATATGACCAATGTCTGCTCCTGGACCGTCCAGAAGTGCGACACTGGCGACATTTGGCTTGCCCCAGACAACTACGTGTCCATCACCTTTGACGATGGCCCAACCCCTCAGTCGCACAGCCTCATCGACTATCTCCAGGCTCAGAAGCAGACCGCCACCCACTTCCTCATCGGTAGCGCCATCGTGTGGAACCCTGACGCCATGGATCTGTACGTCAAAGCTGATCCTCCCATGCACCTCGGTGTTCACACCTGGTCGCACACCCTTCAGACGGGCAAGACGGATCTCGAGATTCTCGGTGATCTTGGCTGGACCATGCAGATCATCTACGATCTGACCGGATCCGTTCCCATGTACTGGCGTCCCCCCGAGGGCGATGTCGATGCCCGCGTTCGCGCTATCGCTACCGAGGTGCTCGGTATGCAGACCGTCATGTGGAACAAGGACGCCGACGACTGGTGCTTGCGCCAGGGCTCCGGCACCGCTCAGCTACAGACCTGCACGACCGGCGTTGGCGCCACCAAGCAGGGTGTCATCCGCGAGATGACCAGCTGGGCCGACACCACCAACCGCACTGGATTCATCTCGCTCGAACACGAAACCACCGACCAAGCCATCGACGCGTTCAAGGAGTACCACCAAGCGCTCATGCAAAACAACTGGCACGTAGGCGCTGTCCCCGAACTCCAAGGTCTGCCTTACTACCAGAACCAGTGGAACCTGACCACAAAAAAAGAACACGTCGACAGCATCTTGCCCACTCGCCCTGCGATCAACGTTGTTCATTCGGATGCTAGGCGTGGCAGCAGGAGGGCTCCCGACACCAGCGCTTATGCCAACCTCGACGGTAGCGGCGCAGGCGCCGGCGCTTCATCTTCCGCCAACGCGGCTGTGGCAAGCGTCAGCTCTTCCGCCCGATCTTCTGCTACCGGCTCTTCCAGCAGCAGCTCCGTGAATGTAGGCAGCTCGAGCAGCTCGAGTGGCTCTTCTGGTACCAGCGGTCGGTCGACGTCGGGCGCCTCTCAGGTCATCGTTGGTGCTTCCACCATCGGTCTCGGTGCTGTGGCTGCTGCCTTTGCTCTCTTGTTCTGATCGCTGCAAACACTTTCTGCTCGCTCCCGTTAAGAGTCCTCAGAAGGCTCCAGCATCACGGTCCATTCGAATCCTGCATGACAAGTCCTACATCGCTAGCCCGTCTCTTCCTCTTCGATGCTCTGCATCACTTTGTCGCTCCTTTTTCGGTCTCACGCACGCTCGATGTTATCATACACAGTCCAGTCTCTCAATATCATCATCTTCCTCTCCGCCACGCTCTCCGATCAACCAGACGGAGGGACAGCCTTGGCCGGATTCGAGGAGAGAGCTTACACCTTTCTCTCTGTGTGGACCTGGCGTGCTAAATTGTCAGCGGTGAAGATGCCTGATGGGTCGGTTGAGGTTTGAGGATCCGAACGATCGGGCCGATGCGATCTTGAGGATCAGTGATGGGTTGATGCTGGCGGCTAGCAGCGTGACCTCTGTGAAGGCGAGAGACGCAAAATTTCGCACCGTGAAGGCAGAGGCAATCACCGTGCGACATGGAAGCCAGTTGTGTCGGCAAGGGGCCTGCCATCCGAAAATAAGAAGTTGTCTCGTGACATTCGCCGAAACTATGATGGTTTTGCCGGCTTTCCCCCCACAGACCCGCGCGTGCGATTTTGTTCTTAGCCTGAGCCTTCCTAGCGAATCTGTTCTCTTTCCATGTGTCTGTCTTTCTTGCCTTCAGATGTCTTTGCGCAATCAAAAGTGTTTATGACAGATCTGATCCTCTAGGTGTACCATGCTTTTACGGCAAATGCGTTATGATCAGAGAATGGGGAGAGAGATCGCGCGGGGAGAGAGAAGATAGAATCCGTCGTCGTCCGGCAATTCGGCCTTCGAACCTGTCAAGAAATGCACACAAGCGAGGTTGCTCGTTATCCGCTCCGCGCACAGGGTGTTGCAGGATTCAGCGTACCGGCGAACGAAGTCTGAGCTTGCGGTAGACAAGCGCCCCCCTCGTGCCTCTCTCCGGACACGCGAGCCTTGTCCACTCCGAACCACGGCGAATGGATCTCAGCCTACAAAGTTCGCTTGTGCAGGTTGACGATCCGGCCTGTGCGACGAAAGGGATACCCGGTTGCCACTTGCTTCGACACGGGCTGTGAAGCAGCTCTAGCTAGAAGGATAGAGGGATGAGTGGCGATTCATTCGGCTTTCCACTGATTCACATCACATGATAATCTTCTCTTGGTCATCCCCCCCGCTTGTGCAGCTTTGCAGCGGTAGTCGCATTGGTATAGGCGGGAATCAGGCATTGCTTGGCTTCCCGAGGCGCGCGCTGGTGCCTTGCCCGAGAATGCGGTGCCCATGCTCTGCATCGTTCTCCCGACAATGTTCCTGCGGCGGCAATCCAATGTGCTCACGGCGTTTGCTTGCGATTGCCTTGTGACCCCTCTTAGGACCGCTGAATGGCGCGAGACTTGGCTGCGACACATATATAGGCGACCATGTGATCGGTATGCCCTTCTCCCTCAACGATCCATGGGAGCACTCGCACCTCATCCGACTTTGCCCTACCGCCACCAATGACGCGAACCTTCATCCGCTGGGACGACCCGTCCATCGAATCCGGCGCTGGACCTACCGAAGACGACCTGATCAACCAAGTCGCCAAGCAGATCCAAACCGCCCAAACCTGTGTCTGGGAAACTCACCGTCACGCCTTCTCCGGCACGCACGTCAAAACGCAAGGTATCGTCAAGGGCACACTCACCGTCCTGCCCGACCTCGAGTCGCACCTCTACCAAGGACTCTTTTCCACGCCCAATTCTACCTTCCCCATCGCACTTCGCTACTCGACCGAAACAACGGATTTGATCGACGATCGAGTTCCGCAACCTCGTGGAATCGGTATCAAAGTGTTCAATGCCAAGGGACCGAAGCTTCGACAGGATGGTAAGGATCCGCAGACGCAGGACTTTGAATTCAACTCTTGCGCCTTTCTCGAGCTGGGCAACGCACGAACCTGTCGAGACATCATCGCTCTTCGACTTCTCCACGGTGCAGACGGCAAAGGCCTGGACGAAGACCTTCGAAAGAGGGAAGACTACAAGGTGCAAAATGCCAGAAACGTCGCTCCCAACGTTCACCTCGTCGCTCAACGTCAATACTCCCAAGCAGCCATCCGATACGGCGATCACGTGGTCAAGTATCGTCTCCTCCCCACCAGCGATGCTCAACTAGCCCTCACCAACAAAACCGTCACAGAGAACGACAAAGGAAACACCGTCCTCAAAGATTGGCTCCAGGAGTACTTCCAATCCAACGAGGCAACGTACGACTTCCAAGTGCAATTCCTGGAAAACCTCGACGAGCAACCGATCGAAGACGTACGCGTCGAATGGGACCAACAGAAATACCCCTTCGTCACAGTCGCTAAAGTGTCGTTGCCCGCGCAGGAATCCTTCCCGCCCAAAAGGGTCAGCTTCTGGGAAGACCACAACCGGCTGGACGTCTGGCACGGCTTGCAGGATCACAAACCCCTCGGTTCGATCAACAGGTTGAGAAAGGGCGTGTACAAGGCCTCCGCTGCCTTCAGGAGGAAGATGAATGGAAGACAGGAGGTGGTCGTCGATGATATTTCGCAAATCCCAGACTGAAGATGACAGCAAGCGCGAGATCGAGTTCGAATGTAAGATAGCTTTTGCCAATGCTGTGAACTTGTGTCATGGATGTCGAGAGTGTGCGAGGAAATTGCGATAGATACAAATACAATGTGAATGAAAGGTGAATTTTGTTCAAAAGTCGATCGTAGGTCGAGCCTTGTACTTGCGAGTCGCTCTCGAAGGCAAAGTGTGCATCATGTGGTTGCCGTGCAGCTCGAACCGAAGGTATCCGGGATCCGATGAGGTCTGACTCGTCGCCAGAGGGACCTTGATCGCAAACACGGCATTCTTCTTGGGTATAGTTCGGGTCGACTCCTTTCTCCCCGCGCCATGATCCGTTGACGGCTCGATGGCAATGATCAACGTATGCTCGGTCTCCTTCACCACGAGACCGCGTTGCGACACCAGCGACGGGTTCGCCGCGCGAACCACCTCGATCTCCGCTCCACACAGATCCGCCTTTATCAGCGATGCCTGCGCAGCACTCACCGTCCCCGACGACATGGTGGCAAGATTCTTTGCGTCAAATTGCGCATTGGGTACCAGCTGACCTTTGCCATTCATAGCCACGATGTTGAGCAGCTGTTGGATGTAGGAGCGCCACATGTCGTGCAACGGTTTGACGAGGTGGTAGCTGATGTTGGCATCGACCTGTTCGAGCCCCATACGCTTGCGCTGGGAGCGGTTGAGTGACTTTCGGGAAGCCGGCTCGAGTTTCTTGGCTTGATTTGTTCGATGCCGAGGTGCGGATTGCAGTCGTTTGAGCTGTTTGGTCGCGTCCGACAGCAGGCGCTGCTTGGCTTTAACCGACTCTTTTGTCGCAATCTCCTCGTCGTCCAGTCCTGTTTCTGGAAGCGTCGCGGATGGTGTGGGATCAGAATCTGCGCACCTGGTAGAGCGAGTCGTAGCAATTCGCAACCTCTTGAGCTCCGATAGCTCGCTTTTGACCCTTCTCTTGCGTTTTACAAGCTTGCGTTCGGCTCGAAGACGAGCATCGACATCGTTGCCTCCGGTTTTGGGTCGAGCACGATCGAGGTTGGTGATCTGGATGCGACGGTCTTGCAGCCTCTCTCGATAGTACTGTGCGACCTGTGTATCTGGCACCTTGTCGGCATCGAGAGCAGCACGAAGCACCTGATGCGCTGTGCTTGTTGAGCCTGAGCCGCTCGCCTCGGCCTGACCTCCATTCATTCTGGATTTGGATTGCTCTGGCAACCGGGCATGGCTGTGCTCTTCGACGACAGAGCAGACGCAAGTACAGTACCGATGGAAATAGTCTTGAATATTAGTGTCGTGGTGATGGCTGTGATGGTGGTTACAGGCGGAAGAAGATGTGAAATGCGGAATACACACATGACATGGTAAAATTGCCGATCTGAACCCTGGTCGGTTCAGATCGGGAGATCAAGACGCGATCGGATTAGGTTTGCGTCGGACGCCGGTGTGCTTACATCGCGGAGAAGCATTTCTCGGTTTCAATCCGGCATCCCGTCCAGCGGAACTTCCTAAGCGAAAGTTTAAGTCAAGCCGCACAACCTAGCCACTCGGATGCAAGTATGTGGGCGGCTTCATTTCGGGAGCCGCACGCTCAAAAACGGGTCAGCCGAGTAGTGCGCACTGCAAAGCATTCGTGCCTAAACCTCGTAGATGCAGTCTAAGTGCTTTTTGTTCGAGCCCGCATGTAGAGGCCCACTAATGTGCGACGTCGGTCAACTTTCGACGAGGATTGGTTTCCACTTCGAAGTATTGGCACACAGGGAAGAAGGTGCGCGCTGTGGGTCAACGCGATGAGATCCCGCTCGTTGGGAAAATCTAATAACCAAGTGGATCGCTTGGCATCGCGATTCCGATCCCGAAGCTGGTTCCGTGCAGCCGCAGATCGAGACGGCTCCAAAGCAAATACCTTCGACGTCCAGTGTGTTGCCTCTTCACCCCAGCAGAGCTACCGTATCAATGTTGAGTGTCAACAGGTTCCCAGCCGTCTGCAAAGTAGTCAAGCGGCACAGGTCAGCGAAGATGCAAGGGGCGACGAAATCCGATCAAGTGGAACAAAGCGTGATCCGTGGTACTGATCTTCACGCGCAACGGCCGCCAGTGTCAAAGGCGCTACTAGCTGCAGAGCTAGTACAACTGGTAGCGCCACCTAGTTATGTGAGGACTGAATGCTAGTCACGCCCGAACAACACGCGTCGAGTTGACCGAGACAGCAATTGCAGAGCCTGGAGGCAGCAGCGGGAAGTCTAGACTGTCGGAGTGTCGAAAGTTTCCATGCGCTTTTCATCTCGTGTTTGTCATGCGAACTTTTGGCAAGCACAGGATCTCCATCTTCGGTGCTTCCCAACCAAGCGGCCTCGTTCACAGCTCTGTCAACGGGAAGTATGCTTCGCACGGCATCGAGCTTATCGTACACTCGAGAGGAACCAAGCAAGTATTAATATTATAATAATAGCACTGATGTCATTCGTGCCTTGCCGGTGTCCTGCTTGGGATCTGCGACTGATGGCGCTCTCGTGTTGGTCCGGGTGGCCGGTCGGCTCTGCCTTAACCTCGGGCCAATGACCGCTTGTCTTCTGTCTCGTTGCCCGCTGCGGGCGCCCACCTCGCCTGCTGGTTTCATCGATTTGGTTCTGGCAAGCAGCTCCTGGGCAGCAGCCCAGCCGTGAACAAGAAGGACTTGAATCGCATCAGCGACATTCTCTTGCGCGAAGCACGCATGGTCGCGACTCATCTCACCCTTCTCATTGCCTGGATCCCACGCGCTTGCTGGCACGGTCAAAGAGAACAATGGACTCATGATGCATGAGCGTCCCTCCTCTTCAACGGAGTTCCCACCCAGCAAATCCGTAGCGATGCCTAGAGCGAAGTTTCGCGAGCCCTTTTCGCAATATTCGATTCATGCGATGGGCGCAACGGGCATTCGCGATGTTGCCTATGGGCGCGTCCGTTGGCGACTCCCCGGCAGAGAAATTCCGAGAATGAAAACCGGCCTCATGCACGTCTGCATTCGAGTCGGCTAATCTACAAGTTCTGGACCCTTTCCCCCCTCAAATTGGCGGCCTTTCATCGAACTCTTCCATGCACGAGGCTCTCTGCAGAGACAGTGTGGCGGAATTACGTACGTACTGTACGTCGTCGACCGCTGCCGTGCCGTGCCGATTCGCTCTGCCTGCCTGCCTGCCTGCGTGGCCATCGTGGCGGAAGGTCCAGACGATCAAGATGTCGCCCTGTCTGCTGTCCACTCGTGGGGCTCGGCTCGGTCGTAATTTCGCTTCGGGCAGACTTTCGCTTCGCGTTCATCGCCAAAAGTTTTCGATTAAGTAACCTACGCATTGCAGTAAGTTGTAGGCACCCCTGCTAACTTGGATCAGGTCACACACTATGATGCACCCGGGACGCTGCTACTGAGCGTAGCCGACGTGCTGAGCGATGGTATGAGGAGTTTCCATTGGAAATGTCTCAGTACCGCTGCATGGATCCAAACGGCAGGATGCTGCTTCCCAGTGCATCTCTGGTCCTGACGTGCAGCGGCTCTTGTCTTGCTGATGATGGTTCCAACTCCGACCGCACGATACCTCCCTCAAGTAAGGTTTCGGTCGCCCGGACAGCCCAGATCAGCGTTTTAATTGTCTGTCTTCTCCGTCTCCCACGAGTGCCACACTCTTGCAGTTCCTCCCTTTGTCGATCCTACTTCCAATGAAGACGCTTTTTGCCCATCTCAAACAGCGCCTCGCCGGGCTCCGGAGACCGACATCGTTCGTTGCCTCTCCAGCTAGTGCTTGTGTGGAAGTGAAGACACTGTCCAATCACCCGAATCGAACTGGTGCGGTGCGTGAACCGCAGATCCACGAGGGTGCCGCCTTTGCTTCCACCACCGCTTTGCCGAGTGCATCCGACGCTACTGAGCAATTTCTTCGCATGTGGAAGCGCATAAGGATCAGGCGGACGGTCACGCCTTCTCCTTGGTTCTGCGCGTGTAGCGTACCTGCAGAGCAATGGACGTGGCTTGATAGCCGACCGCAAAGCTTCCAATCCACAAGTGCCGTGGATCCTCTTCCCCTCAGTGACCGCCCCCGCTCGTACTCCCTTCTTGAGTCGCTCTGGTCGTTTCTACATCCGCAGACATCTCCTCGTTCTCTGCTGCTTGCTTCAGCGTTGCAAGAAACCACCATCTATCACCCGCTCACGTCGAATGGGGCATCTGCCCTGGTGATATTTTCACTCGAATAGTCTCTTCTGCCCACATCTCTCACCATCTCTCTTCTATCTCCAGCTGGATCCGATTGCTCTAGCTTCCCATCATCGCAGATCAGTTCAAGCACGAGCACACTTGGTCGGCTATCTCTCATACCCGCATCGATAGACCGTTCGACTCGCCTTACAGCAGCTCTCACCGTCTTTGCTCTTCTCAGAATTACGCCGACACGCCATTCGCCTCTTACATCGCATCTCCCGACCGGCTCACCTGCGACAAAAGAAACATTGATCTGACCAACCGCCTAGGTGTCGCCTCTTTTCCTACGGTGCGTCTTGCAGGCCCCAGTCACCTCACGTTGCGTCCCCACTCGACCTGGATCTCGAACCGAGTGCACCCCCAAGTTGCTCCTCTCATTCTCGCATCCGCGCCAGTAGAATTGCCAGAACAAACATACGCCCGTCTCAGGGCAGTATCCTGTTCACTTCTTCGAACTTCACGAAGGGCGTAACGATTTCCCTGGCAGACCGACGCCTATTTCCACGGGATCTCCTCGATTCCGTGCCCTCCTTTTGGCAGCTACAATCATAGTGTGAGTACGACAAAATGATTAAGGACAGCAACGGCCAATCAGTCGACCCAGGCGCCCTCCGACTCGACCCCAAAACTTTGACGCCACGTCGAGTCACTCTTGAAGAAACCCACAGCAGGGTCACGTAGAGATGCGGCCCAATCTTTTCAGCAGCTGCATCAGAGTCGCATCAAGCCTGCCATTGTTCGTCGGTTGCCAAGCGCTGTCCTCGCGATGTGAATCGGCCATCGGGCTCAATGGTGTGTGCTCGTCCAACGAGACTGTACCCAATGAGGATGCAGAGCACCCTTCGTGTGCTGTGCATTCCGACCATGAGAGCATCACGCTCTTGGGAAGGCGATGCGATCCAGCATCAGGATTGCAAAAGGGTGTTGCCTTTGCTGCCGCCTCTTTAGCTGCTGCCGCTTCAAAGTGGGATGAAAAGGGGGCTCGAGCAATACAAGCCACGCTCCGTCGCCATGCAAAGCTCCTTTTACTGACATGCAACTTCCGTCTTCATTCATACTACCCGCTTCATACCATCATGCAGCACGACACCGGAGCGTGGTACCCTCCCACTGAACAAATCATTGTTCGGGCTCGATCTCCGGTCGAAACACCGTCAGCGCCGCGTCAATCTGCCAGCCTCGAATCTGCGTGCAAGTTGCAATCTGATAGGCAATCGAGCAGTGGACCCGACCAGCGAAAGAGTGCGTAGCATCGGAAACGAAGAGATCTTTCAAAGCCCACCGCGAAATGTCGCGATCCGACACCGACGGACGAGAGGTTGGCTCCGGCGCCGGCCCATCACACCACTCCGAGCATCCCTCACAGCGTCGCGAGCGACCCGAATACGGTTACGCAGCAGCAGACGAGTCTCGTCGACCTCGTACTGCGCAGGAAGTATCATCTTCAGACTACTACGACCAGCGTTCGGCATACGACGCTTACACACGCGATACAGACAGATCGTCGTATGCAAGGGCAAACGGCTTGACGTCTGATCAAGAGAGTTCTTATCAACGCGAGCTAGAACTCATGAAGGCTCGCGAAGAGCAGGAGCGCAGCTATGGCGGCGCTTCGGGATCGCGGTCCAACCGTCCACCGGAGACGGACTATCGGTACGGTGGTTTGCCTGCCACGCGTGGGTATGCCGACGAGTTCGGACCTCGCGCTACGACGAGCACCGAACGACCGAGTCTGCAAGGGTTCTCGCGCGTCGAAGACGGCAAACGCTATCGACTAGTTGTGGTGCAGCATCCGAGCCGTGCGCGCATGTGCGGGTTCGGCGACAAGGATCGACGTCCGCTAAGTCCCACGCTGATCGTCAAGCTTGTGATCACCGACGAGGCGACGGGCGAAGAGATCAGCCCCTCCGAAGTCAACACGTCGCTGTTTCTGCTCGCAACGGATCTGTGTCATCCGGACGACCTCATGCTCGCGCCGAGAAACATTCTCGTGCATCACCACGCTTCGTCGCTGTCGGCGCATTCTACGCAGCATGGCGGTCCGGGCGGGTATGCGACTGACGAGTTCGGACAGCGCGCTGGTCCGAGCCTCGGCGCGTACGCCGCTGACGGCGCCGGACCATCCGAAGACGGCTACCGGTCGGGCAGCGGACCTCCAGGTGCAGCAGCGTCTTCGTCGACATCGACCATGACTCCGTACGAGCGTTCGCCGCAAGCCTCGATGCAGTTCGGCGGCACCTTTGCGCAGCAGAGTCAAGCCGAATCGTACACGCGAAATCTGGTAGGAGCCGCCGTAGCTAGCGCCTCGGTTCTCAAAGACGAGCAGGACAAGTGGTGCACATTCTTCGTCTTCCAGGACATCTCGGTACGCACCGAAGGCGTCTACCGCATCAAACTCACGTTTGTCAACCTCGAGGTGAGCGGTCGTGTCGGCACGGGTGTCGCAGAAGCGCTCTCAGAGACCTACACGGAACCCTTTACCGTTTACTCTCCCAGACGATTCCCTGGAATGTTGGATCCAACACCGCTTTCGCGCAAGCTGGCCTCGCAGGGCATCAAGATTCCCGTAAGGAATGACAAGAAGAAGCAGAGGAGGCGGAATGACGACGGTGGCGATGGAGATGATGGTGGGATGGATTACGATGGAGGATCTGGCGGTGATGATGACGACGATTAGTGAAGCGAAGTTACAATTCATACGTCTAGTAGCACAACTTTGGCCGAGGTACAATAGATACGAACAAGCGATCCACAGTCGACACAAGAGTTGCTGAAGGAATAGCTTTGTACACTTTTACAAGACCGAGCATGATGACTTTCGTGAGTCACACTCGGAGATGGTTGCCTGTAGCTAGAAGCAGTACCATGCAACTAAACATTTGGTATGATGGTACATGTGAATCTGGTCAAGATGTTAACTCTACACGTGTGCAATATCTCAGAAAAGTTGCTTGTCACGTGTGCGGGTCTATCCGGCCAAAGTGAGCGATTCAACTGCCCGATGCTCATCTTGTCCCTCTCTGGGAAATTCGGAAGCGAAATCAACTTACTCGGCGCCTTGCGTACTCACGATCGCACATCAGACCATTCACCCTTCCCTCCTTTCTCTATATACTTTCCCCTCACAACATCTCTCTACACATCGAACGTCACAATGGCATCGCGATTTGCAGCAGGTCTTTTTGGCCGTAGCTTGGCTACCGGTCGCGTTCAGGCTGCCGGTTCGATTCGAAGGCTCGCGACTGCCGCTGGCGAGAACGAGTTTGTCGCCGAGAGGGTGCACCACAAGGAACACGCTGGAAGTGAGTATTGGAACCGAGGGTTTGCGAAAGGCGAACTGTAGATTGAGACGGCGCAGGGACTGGATTGTTCTTGGTCGGATTGGGAGTTGATAGCGTGGCAGACAAGAGTAGGGAGGGACCGTCGAGAAACAATGGCAGTCTGGGACGAATCCGTGGAGCAGGTTGTCCTCTCACACAGGAAATGGTGTCTTCCCGAACAAAAGCTGGCGGAGGAGAAACGACGAGAGCAGCAATTTGTGTTGACGACACAAGCAATACCTGAAGCATCTCCGTATCGAACTCTCAATTGACATGATTCTCCTCCTCATCCACCACATTCCTCACCCCACAGAGTCCGCCGACCTCTGGCGCAAAGTCTCCCTCTACGTCTGCATTCCTGGCTGTAAGTTTCCTTCGTCCCTCTCTCCCCCGCTCTTCCTCCAGTCTCCCCTCTGACCCACCTCTTACCCTTCTCTTTCCCTCTCGACAATGCACACAGCCATCGTCCTCGGAGTGTACATCTACGGAATCGAAAAGCACCACTACGACCACGCCGTCCATGAGTACCACGAGAACGGCGAGCAGCCTCCCGAGCGCACGTTCTACGAGTACAACAACATCCGCAGGAAGGCCTTCCCCTGGGGAGACGGCAGCAAGAGCTTCTTCCACAACCCCATGATCAACTACGAGAAGGCTCCTTAAAGGCTTGGGGGCGAAAGTTGATGGCACGCGAGGATGTCAATCCGAAAAATGCTTCCGTTGATACTATACAGAGGGGCAGCAGTGTGTGCAGGAACGACAGAGATGCGTGTGTGGGAGAGGATTGAGGGTGAGATGATTTGACGTGCGTGATTCGTGAGGAGCAGTTCGAGATGTGACACCGCCGACAGATCTCGTATCCATCCTGAATCAAGTGAGCCCAGTCACCTCCTCTAGCAGTCCCAAATCCTCATCTCGTATCTCAACAGCTTTCAATTCTGCGATGCACTCCCCGAACATCATCCCCAACTCCGCTCTCGCTTTCGTCACCCCAGCACCCTCATCCCGATGCACAACTGAATCAACCACACCAACTCCCACCACTTTCGAGACACCAACTCGAGCCTCAGTCTCTTTTCTTTCAGCAACTTTCGCTCCGACCCGCCGCCCGACACACGCTCCGAAGCCGACAAGACTCTCACCCTTCCTCTTCACACCCGACGCTTGGCAATGAGGAACGAAAAAGAATGACTAAAAAAAGTTACACAAGCATAAAAGAATCGAAAAACAACAAAAGAAAGGGCTTCTCAGCCTCAACACGTTTCGAGTGTCAACGGTCGAGTGCTTTCCCCGCGCCTACCCGGTCAACACCACCTACTGGCCCTCCATCATCTCCTGGATCCTCCTCGCCAAGGACCCAATCTCGCCCTCGGCACTAGTCCCATCGTCGCTGGCTCCACCCTCCGTCCGGTCCTCCTCGGCACTCTGATCCGCCGACGCCAACGACGCCAGCTGCTGGATCAACGGCAGCAGCTGCTCGGACGCCCGAATGTGCTCCTCCAGCTGCGCATCCCCGCTCTCCAACAGCTGCACGATGGTCCACACCGCAATGTGCTGGAACGTCGAATCCTGCGACTCCAAGAACCGGATCAGATACCCGTGCAGTCCACCCTCCGGCTGCGACCAAACGGCGTTGAACGGTCCATAGTCATCCGACTTGGACGAAAGGTTACCCAACGCAGCCGCCGAATTACCCTGCACCTCGACCGACGGCGACGCAGTCAGCGGGATCAGCACCTCGCAGATCCCCATCTCCAACAGCTGAGGCTTCAGATCCTCCGACAGCGCCAACACCGCCGCGCACGCCGTCATCTCGCTCTGCACGCTCAGCGGCACATTGAGCACGAGCTCCTTGATGCGCTCCACCGCCCCCGCCTCGACGATGGCGGTCTTGTTGCGCTCGCTCGACGCGGCCAGGTTGCGCAGCGTCGAGATGGCGTGGCACTGGATCTCCTCGTTGTCCTCGTGGCTGAGCAGATCGATGAGCGGGTGCAGGAAGCCAGCGTCGATGATGGGCGATTCGTTGGCAGGGTGGATCGACACGTTTCGAACGCACGCGGCCGCCGAGAGGATGAGAGGCAGGAACGAAGATCGCAGCAATCGCAGCAGGGGAGGCAGACCGTTCGAGCGGACGATCTCGATCTGGTACTTTTCGTCCGAGGCAAGGTTACGCAGCGCAAGCGCCGATTGGCACTGCACCTTGAGCGAGCTGCTCTCCATAAGCCCAATCAGATTCTGCACCAGTCGAGGTTCGGTCTGAGCCAGCTTCTTGCGGTTGGCGGCGTCGACGGCAATGTTGCTGAGCGCGGTGGTGCAGTAGTACTGGACGTCGGTATCCGAACTTCCGAGCAGGCCGACCAGCACGGGGATCGCGCCGGCGTTGACGAGCTGCTGACGGTTTTCATCGCTATGTGTCATGTTGAGCAGAGCTCCTGTAGCATTGCGCTGAACACGCATGTCCTTGGAACGCGCGAGACGGGTCAGAGGCACGAGCGCGCCGGACTTTGCGATCTTGGTCTTGTTGTCGTCGTGCGTGGCGAGGTTGGTGATGCAGCCGACCGCGTTGCACTGCACTTCGACGTTGGGGCTGAGCATCTGGCGGATCAGAGGTTCGAGACCGCCGAGCTTAACGATGAGCAGCTTGTTCTCGGCATTGACGGCCAGGTTGCCGAGAGCGGCGCTGGCAGCACGCTGCACCTCGACGTCGTGGCTCTGCAGCAGGAACATGATGGGCTCGAGCGTGTCTCGACCTACTTCACGCACCTCCTTTTCGGTGATTTCGGCAAAGGCGAGCGCTGCGCTCCTCTGCAGATCGACATTGTCGCTGAACGAGAGCGTCGATAATGCTCGAAGGGGATCGCCGGTAAAGAAGTTGGTCTCGGATCGGTCTGAGAGGTTGCGGTGAAATGAAAGAGATAGAAAAGAACTCGTCAGCAACTGTCTCGCGGCGCTGATGTGATCAAGCTTCAGCCCATACGCGCCCGCTGCTGACATCGTGACGACGACGACTCTCAACGCCGCTGCGCACACGCTCGACCCTGAATATACTCACTCTCGAGGTACTGAAGTAGATCGGCTACAGCATCTCGCTCATTGTCGAGCAGGAGAGGCTCGTAGTTGGCGTTCCTCGAGGAGCCACATCCGCAGCAACTGCAGATGTTACCCATTCTTTAGCGCGTCGAGACGTCGATCCACTGCGTGCTGTTGGCGGGTTGATTGCGGGTGGCCAAAGTGCGATGCGGTAAAGGGCAGCTGTTGCAGCTGTGGGAGAAAAGTCGCGAGCGTCTGGGCTTTTGTGTGGTCGTAAACTGAATGGAATAGCAACGACGAGCTGTCGAGAGGAGGTGCAGCAGCTGGCGAGGAGGCAGTCGCAGTATCAGAATGCGATGCGGAACGTTGCAGTTCGTCGTGACGATGCCGATCGAGACCGAATATGTTGCCAATGACAAAGCGACGCTGGAAGGAAGGTGGTAGGAGCGAGACGATGGCCGAGGTGTGACGAAGTCCGCAGGTAGCCAGTGTGGGTATGTGAAGCGGATCGTCGAGTCTCGTTGAAAAGAAAGATGTCGACGACGGGATCCAACAGTTCGAGGGAGATCAAGAGCTGCGCTTCGCAAAGGTGAGTTGAATGAGTGAGAGCGGCAGGTGGAGTTGCGAGCGTGCTGAGCGCGCAGACGACAGCTTGAGCAGACAGACACAGAGGAGAGGCGGCGCGCACACTTTCCTCTTGTGGCTCTCTTTTTTGCAGGGTGGTCCAAGCCTCTCTGCCCTCTTTCTCCGACTTGCATTTCAAAAATTCGAGCCAGCGACCCAGCAGAGACACACCCATAGTCACCTCGAGGAACGCTCTCTGCAGCTGCAACCGACAATTAAAGGCAGAACAGGCGCTGGCGCGGGGAACACTTTCTGCTCTCTCCTCAAATGAAACCAACAGGCCTACCCTCACACCGGAAAGCGCGTTGACTGAGCCTGCAGCCTTCTTTTTTTCGAAATTTCAAATACAAACCCTTCCATCTGCAACGTCACTTTTTGTATTCCTGCTCAACGTCAATCCTTTTGAAAAACAAACTTCTCTCGACACAGCCAGCAATTTCGGTCTTTCAAATATTCAACTTCGAACGGGGTGTTGCAGAGAGAGAGCGGTGAGCCTGCCACCGCTAACTATGCATGCTAGTAGCCCCTGACGTAGAGCTCGGATCCAGTATTGGCTCAACTCCACCTCATCTTTGGCGCACACTGTAGACCGCCGGCCTTCAGACAAGCTATTCTCACACACAGAATGGCGTTTCCTAACACTCTGTAATGGGATGGCTTTCCAATGCTTCATGACATTCCGATGATGATGAATCGATTTGAAATACGGTGACAGAGGAGGTGTCATGGAGCTCTTCAGGTTTGACCCGAGAGCGAAGGACGTCTGGCTACAGTGAGGGCCCCATGCGAAAACGCGACCGAAAGAGGCGACCTAGCCGATCGTGGCGAGATGGAAGCGCGAGGTGCTTCACCTCCGACCTTGGTGGCTGAGTCTGGTCCCAGCGTGGCGCTTCCCAGCGCGGGCGACGACAGCGACGACGACAGAGCCAGCGGCGCAGGCACCGTGAGACCCTGCAGGCGATATCGCTCGCTCATGCTCATGCGAGCGGGTCCTGCTGGCGAAGCTCCCACGACGCTGGCAGGGCTCAGCTCGAGCTCAGGACCCAACCCGTTCAACCGCGCAGACGCCGGACTACCCGTCTCGTTTTGCTCCGAGATGGGCGCCATCACCGCGTCGTTGGCTTGCAGGAACTCGTTTGGGATCGGCGTGCGTTTGGGCGGTGCTGCCTCGAGCGATCGGCGCATCAAAGAGCTGCGGCGAGGTGGGGGCGTCTTACTTCGACGCGATCCTGTTCCCGCATCGCTTGGCAGCGGAGGCATGGGTTTAGCTACAACCGCCGAGAGAGCTGGCATGGAGCCGTGCGATGCCATGTTCTGATGTGCTTGCACTTCGGCGCTGTTGCGTGCAGAAGCGTTGGTGCCCCGCGACGAGATCGAGTCCCATCGTCGGCCCAGCCTGGGGAAGCTGGCAAATCGTGACGACTCTTGTATTTCGTGACCGTCGTTGGATGAGAAGATGCTGGTGCCAAATGACGAGGACTTGGAACTCCCCGAACGGCCACGAAGGTGCCTCGATCCGACACTGGTATGGAACGCTGGGCCGTGTAGCATGTCGTAGGTGTATTTTCGAGAGCTGGGCGGATATCGCTTGTCCTTGCCCGACAAGTTTGTCTCTGAAATAGGCGGCGCCGGAAGGGGTCTCTGCTCGTCGACAGCGTACATCTGTGGGCGGGGGAGAGCCTTGCGATGCAACGACGTGGTGGATGCAGCCTTGCTGTGACTGCGATGACCCATCGGAAACGGCGTGGGTAGCGGGAACGCATTCTCCTTGTTGTCCGAAGACCGCGACCACGGGAAGCGGAACACCTTATTCAAGCTCGACGTCGACGACGAGGTGCGCAACTGCGAGTGACCTGAGTTTGAGCTCGACGACTTGTGAGAGGCTCCCTCGTCCAGGACCAGATTGATCTTTGACAACGATGCAATACGACCTCGGAGCGTGCGCGGCGGATTCACTGCCGGGGGAGCTGACGTCTGTACTTCGGACAGTGGAGCTGCACTGGCACGTGGGAATGTCTGTGCCTTCACCGCGCTAGCAGGCATCGCTTTGGCTGGCACAGGAGGCCTCTGCGGCTCCTTGGAAGTGCTTCCGGGCAATGTCTTCTGTACCGCCACATCCGCTCTGGCCGGCGGAGCAGGGAAGATTGCCGCAGAAGCCAAGTCTGGAGTGGCGATGGACGAAGAAAACGACGGCCGACCTGCCGAAGCCATCTCGGACGAGATCCTCACCACCTGTTGCTGTAGTCCTGCAATCTCTTGCTCGTGTCTGCGGATGAGCTCTTTGTTGCGCTCCACCTGGCTCCAAAGCTGTGCTTGACGGATGGGATCCAACACGTTCCCTGCACTCAGCGATCGACTTCGGCCTGGCGAGCTTTGCCCCGTCGCTGCTGGGTTGCCGAGCGATGGCGTCGCCATGGAAGAATCATTGCTGATAGAGGTTCGGCAACCGCATTGCCAGGTGGCGTTGGTCTTGCCTGCCAACGAGCAGTTGGGACGATGGAAAGCCGAGGGAGATGGTCGGATGGCAGGAACACCGTCGTTGTCGATGCAAACACTCCAGGCGTGGAGTTCGCCAGGGGCTCGCTTTCCAAATTCGGGCGCGAAAAGGTTCAAGACGGTGTCGGAATTGCGTCGCACCAGCCTTGGCGATGGCATTTTTTTCTGATGCGGCAGAGCCGGCACAGGCTTGTGTCCTTCGCTGCGAGCCGTTCTGTCAACTGGCGATGCGCCACTAGCGCCACTGGCCTCGAGAGGCCCGCGGGCCACCACAAACGGCATGTGCGTTTCTGAGCCAGAGTCGACCAAGACTTCTTGCTCGTCATCCACAGCGAATTGGGCGAAACCGGTTGCTTCCGATTCGCCTTTGAGCAGCAACGGACTCTGCAGGAGTGCAGGCGGCTTAGGAGCTTCTCTGGCCGCTGCAAGCGAAGGCATGCTAGCGCTCGCGAGCATGCCTGGATCGAGATCGGTAATATCGCGACGAATGGGCCGCGAAAAATTGTAGCTTCCTGCAAGGCCGTCTTCGCTGCTTCGCCCGAGGAAGGTGCGGCGATGTTTGGCGCGTTCGGCTTGCAACTCGAGCGCAGAAGGGCGCGGGCCCTCGGCACTGGCCTTCGACAAAGCCCATCCGGGGCTCTGATATTCAAACGATGGTTTGGACGAAGAAATGTAGGGGAGGCCAAGCATCGAGGTGCGATTGTTACCTTTGCCTGCTGTCGGCTTGGCCAGGCTTCCCTTTGAGAGTTCCTCGGACGAGCGGTGTGATGCGAACAAAGTGGAGAGCATCGGACTCGAGCTGGACCTCGAGATTAACGCGCCTGCTTCGTTGGTTGCTACCGCGTCGCCAAGCAAGGCGGATGAACCGAGCAGATGATTGCGCCAGACGTGTTGCGTCGTGTCGAGCATCTGCTGGACGGTGTCGCGAGGGATATCGAGGGATCTCACGAGCTCCTCCGTGGAAGCACTTTGCGCGAGCGAGAGCGATTTGAGGCCGCTGCCGTTCGCATCCAGAGGCGAAGAGTTGGACTGAGACATCGCAGCCAGGCGGTCGATGCTTGCTGAGGACCGCAAGGCGGGGAGGATGAGCGGTCTCTGGACCGATTTGGTAGAGGCGCCGCTAGAGTGTGCGCTGCCCAGCTGTTGCTGCGCATCGAGCTGAACGCTGCTGGTAGGTGTGTGGCGACGAAGAGGTGCTTGCAAAGCGGCATGTGGCGGCAGATCGGGTAGGGCCATAGTTGGTGCTGGACGAGGAGGCGGATTGCGGGCTTGGCGACTCATGGAAGGTGCCATAGAGGTGGCGGTTGGTTGCGAATGCATAGTCCCACTAGATGTGTCGGGTATCGTGTCATGAGAAGTGCCGCTCTCGTCTTCGTCGTCCATATCGAGATATGGCAGTTCAGTGGAAGCATGGCTGGCGGCAACTCCATCGTGCTTGTAGCCTTGGACGTCGAAATGCTCTCCTCCGTCCCAGCTGTTCTCCTTGCGCATAGCAGAAGAAGCAGAGAGGCTGGCTGATACATCGTCCGTCAGAGATTGCGATGGAAGCGGCTCAAGCGACGAGGGAGGGGCATATGCGGAATCGCCACGGGTGAGTGGATTCGGAAAGGAGCTGATGAGCGAAGCAAGGGCAGGCGATGGAGCGGTCAACGACGGCCTGCCTGCTCGAGTCTGCTCTGTGGACGCCGGTGAAGGCGTTGATGCGAGGGTGAGCATGCCGCGACTCGGTTCCGGCTGCAAAGAGCTGGAAGCCGTGGCGGGATCCATCGCGTCACTGTAGTCTGACGACGCCGTGGTCAAAGGCGGTCGAACTTGCGCATGCGGGCTCGCGAGTGGTTCTTGAATAGTGGGAAGTTGCCGCACGAAAGCTGGTGTATCGTGCGAATCGCTACTGTCGGAATCGCTGTCATTGTCCTTGTTGCCCATGTCCAGGAAAGAAAAGCGAGAAGCATTGAGGTCAAGCAATCCCGAAGTGCTGAAAGGACGGCCAAATCCAGCGTCATCGAGCTGCACTGCTGGTGGCGGCGAGGCTACAAACGATGGAAACGCAGAGAGTGAAGAGTCCAATATTGGCGAGTAGGTGGTCAAGGACTCGGATGGCTGGGTGCGTTTGAGCTTAGGCGCCCAACGTGGTTGCCAAGCCTTGCCGTGAGGATTTGAAGCGGCGTTGTTCGCAGAGGTGGTGGGTTGCGCTACTTCGGAGGTCTTGACTTGCTTTGTGAAAGAAGGTACACGCATTCGAAAGCGCCCGCTGGGAGCGCGACACAGTGTTGCGCATCCGTTGCTCAGATCCTGCAGAGACCCGCTAGTCGTCGACGCCGAAGGGACGGCGGCCGACGTGGGCCACTGTTGTGGAGCGACGTGCATGGGCGGAGGCGGCAGCTCCTTTGCAGCGACGTGGGAAGTCATCTCGGAGTGTGTAATGCGCGGTATGGGATCGTGACGACGGGAATGACGAGCTAGGATCGAGGTTGCTAGGAGCGTTGATGAACAGTCATTGATGCGAAGGTTGCGGGGACGTAAGAAGCGTGCTTAGAGTACGATGCTGTGGTTCCAATCGATGTATGCTGTTCCGAAGCTTGATACCATTAGAGTTGTGGATCGAACGCTAAATGTGGTTGGATGCAGACCGGCTGCTCGGACGATGGCCTTGCGATCGCCAGAGGCCAGGTCGTCGCCGGGGAAACGATATTCACAACGCGACCTGCGCGAATCGAGCCTGGCTATGAGGTGGATGACGATGAAGGGAGGACAAACGGAGGAGACGGAGGATGGTGGAAGGAAGCGACAGACGGCATCGCGAGAAGCAGGGGAGAGCGAAGCCAATCTCGGAAAAGTGGCACACACAGCGTCTCGAAGCCGTCAGTCTGCAGCTCGGCTCTGCAATTGAGCTCGACACGGAGGGATAAAAAGCCCGGACTGGGACTGTCCAGCACGGCGAGCGGGCCAGCTGATGCATATAGCCAGCCTTACGCCGATGTGAGAATTTCCTGGTCGCCTTGCTTGCACACGTCTCGGACGCGCCACGCGCAAAGAGAAGGTCAAGCCATAAAGAGGGTCCCGGGTCGGTGTGTCGGTGCCAATCGCGCGTGTTGGACCCTCAAATGTCTCAGTGTTCCGAAACGCGAAGAACAGAGAGGCGCCTCCCTCGGCTGTTGGCATTTCCGTTCCCCTCACAGGCTCGATCCTGTCCAAGCACCCCGTACATTCGCGAGACTATGCTCAATACGAGCGTGTCGTTTGCGAAGAGATACCGTGTCTGCAGCCCAATAGCAGCCTTCAGCGATGTCCAAGCAAATGATCAATGAAGTCAGAATCAGACGCTGCGGCGCTGACGGACAATGAATGCAAAGCTGGCGTTATTATATTTCAGGTTGCGGGGTTGGTGGGAAAATTCGATGCAAGTTGCATCAAAGTTCGCGTGGGCTCGTTCAGTGCCTGCATACAATCGGCTCAACCCCTATTTTCCTCGGCCCTCGAGTTGAACGGCGAGAACGTTCGCTGGTGTAGGGTTAAGGTCACTCACTGTGTCGACAGCGTAGTATCATCGGGTTGATCGGCTGTCATCTGCGCAGCCGATCTGCGATCTGCACCACAGTCACCCCTTCACACTCGCGGTTGCCTTCGATTCATCACGTTCATTCAGATGCTGATCATGAGGTAAAGTCCTGTGGGTTGCGTAAAATTACATGTGATGCCAATCATGGCCGCGGACTGGGGTTGAAACCAAGTCGAAAGATGCAAAATAAGTGTCCTGATATGGTTACATACGATCAAGCAAAGAGAGCGAAAGTCGAAAGAAGAATTGCCACCGCTACGCCAGCACCGATACCTGTCGACATTGCGACAGCGCCAGCCGGCAAGCCATGCAGACCACCATTGGATCCACTGGAACCATTCGAGCTGTTCGAGCCGGAGCCGCTCGAGCCAGATCCACCACCACTCGTCCTGGGTGCAGGCGGATCTCGCGAGGCTGGAAGCGTCACTGAAGCCCTCACGTTCTGATCGCCCAGCTGACCCGTGCCGATCATCACGTGCTGACCGTTGGAAGGTACGCCGTTGACCACCAGGAACGCCATGGCCGGACCAGGCTGGAAGATGTTGGCGTTCGGAGGCATGTTGGACACGTGCAGCGTGCCGCCCACCGTCCCATCCTGGTTGGCCGTGTAGGTCGAGTTGAGCTCTAGGTAGCGTTGACCGAAATTGACGCCGTGCGTCGCAAAGCCGGATCGGATGATCACCATCTTGGCCGTCTTGATGTTGGTGATGTTGTTCGACAGATCAGAGCTCGACAGCGCCACGTCGAACGATCCGCCGCCGTAGGCGATCTGAGTGATGTTGGGCTGAGTCGGTCGCGGCTGATTGTACCAGAGCGGGTACCACTGCTCCAGGCGATACTCGGTGTTGGTGTAGTTGGCCTGGTTGGTCAAAGTGACGTCTGCGTTTGGGTTAGAGCCGGCTGTGAGCACAGAGCCGTCCTCCAACAAGATGGCGGTAGAGTGGTACATCCTTTGCACTTGCATCTGCGATAGGCCGGCAGTCGAGAATCGCGAGCCTCTTGCTGCGGTCGGATCGTACAGCATGGGCTGATAGTCAGGCTGGTCGCCCAACGAGATGCCGATGTTCTTATTGTAGTTCTGACCAGAATAGCCTCCAGTCCCCATGCGCACACCCTGTCCGAACCACAGCTTTCCATCCGGCAAGTAAACAAACGTGCCCATCGATCTGCCGTTGATCAGGTCGTCGTCCTGCTCCCACGTTGGCTTGTCAGCCTCGGGCGTGATACGCTCACACTGTTTGCTTGCAGGGAACGGAAGAGGGTTGTACAGAGGTCCCCCACCGTTGCCCCATTCATTGAGCGGACGTTGCACACCACCACAGAAGAGCACCTCTTGCGAGTAGTTGTTGGCCGGCGTCATGGGAAGCATGGCCACGCCCGCCGAGGCAGGGTAGACCTTCATGGGACCTGTTGTGGAAGGCAGACCCTTGGCGACCGAGTTGTTGTCGAGGTCGTAAAGGATCGCATCCTGGCCTGCCTGGACAAAGAGAAGACCGGAGGCCATGAGCCATGCGAGCGGATACAGGTTCATGGGCAAGGTCTGCGTGAGAAAGTCCATGTTGATGGCTGCACCTCGTGGTGGCCAGTATTCAAAGTTGGGCTGGTTCTGTCCCTCGTCAGCGACGTATCCGCCGTAGTCCTCGCCACCACCAATCCAGAGTGTGCCGTCTGCGAGCGCCTCGACGGTAGGGTACCATCTGCGTCGTTGCATATAGTGGTTCCCGTCGTCCCAGTCGGACGTATTTTGCGAGTTGGCCGTGTAGAAGCGAGCAGCGGCGCCGCCATCGCCGTCGTAGTAAGGTGCGGTGGTGCTGAATCGAGGTGTGGTCGAATTGCCCCCTGGTCCAACGTTTTCGTTACCTCCAAAGACAGCCCAGGTGCCGTTGCCGAGCGACATGCCACCCGCACAAAAGGTGTTGGTGATGACATTCATCAGGCGGCCCGAGCGAGTTTGCGTGTCCCACTCCTCACCCCATGCAGGATGGCCGTTGATGCGTGCAGCGTTGCCTTCGGTCTTGTCGAGGATGACCACCTTGCCGGGCGCGCTGTTGAAGAGCATCATGCCCGACACGGCAGATGAGCCGACGATCTCGCTTCCGCCTGGTGTTGCAGCCAAGGAGGACGCAGCTGTGACAATGAGGGCGGTCGCCGCCGCTGCGACCCTTGTTGTGGTTCTTGTCATGTTGGAGCCGGCTATATGCTGTTAGTCTATGCGGAAGCGACTGTATGCGCCGTTCTCTATGAGGATGGGTCCAGACCGTCTACGGAGTCGGCAATGATAGGACGCTGCGAGTTCAGACACGGTGCAGCTTCTATGGAGGGAAAGCGTCGGAAGGGACAAGTAACAGCGAATGCTTGAAGAGTACAGACGGGAGGAGGTGAACGGGGGTCGAACGACGCCAAGCTCGCAGACACTGTAGTGTATATAAGGCGCTTCAGACCGGCAAAACCGCTCAAGATCGCAGAAGCCGTCAGAGCGGAGTCTCAAGAGGGGAAGCAAACAATCAGACGATACCGCCATCGTAGCGGTTGACCGACTTCCACCTCTCAAAGTCCGCATCCGCGGCATCTGCAGAAGAGCGCAAGAACCGGTCCGAAGAAAGAAGGATGTAGCGTCTGTTCGAGATGCAGCATGGTGTCAGAGTCTTCTGAGCATGCAACTAGAAGCTTGGTGAGGGCTGCGGGCTGCAGGGCTGGTGCCGCCCCTACAAACAAAGTGCCTCTGTCTTGTACAAGGAACGGCGGGCGGTGTTCAATCAAACTTTCTTGAACGAAGGAAAAACTTGCCAAAACAAGCTAGACAGGCAAACAGGACCCTGACCGCCGCGGACTGACGTCGGAAGCGCGAGGGTCAGGGCAGAAAAGTCTACTTGGCAATCGTACACTTGCCCAAGCACATTAGCACTGGAGGAAGACCAAGACGAAGCGACCACGAGACCAAGTGCGTTTGAGCATGAATTCGCTTGCCCCCTTCGCTTGTGTGTGAAGCGAGGACGGAAGACGCAAAGGAAGGCCGACAACTCGAGTTGGTCGAAACCCTGACGATCCAAAAGCGCGCGCGCGCACATCTCAACATTCAGCAATCGCGGACTCTGTTTCTAATTTTGAAACAAATTGGAAACAAGAACAGCTGCACGGCGAACATCATCCTTCCACGCTCGAGACGCTGTGCTGTTGATCGCGATCTGCAAAACGCTGCATCTCGATTTCTCCACCAATGGTCGAGCTCGGCTTGCAGTGCACTTCATCATGTTTGTGAGCTGGTGGTGTACAGTCACTTGTACTGCGGTCGTAGCTGTAACAATGGTGATGGTGGCGGTGGCGCAGCAGTCTGTAGACTTGCTAGCCGAAGGTTTCTGGGGTGGTAGCTGTTCGTGCTGTTGACAGGAGACAGCAGCTGTCGAGACGTCAAGATGCATCTCTTCGAATGTGCTCGATCTTGGGACGTCCTTTGGTACTTTCAACGTTGACCGGGCTCACAGCTCAAGATGACCGAGTGGCCGTCCTTGTTTGCGACGCCGACAGCATGATTCTTGCAAAAGAAGGATCTTCTTGGAACACTGAAACCGGAGCTCCAACACCCTCCTTCTCAACTCCGACGAGGCATCGAGGAGAGCAACGCGTCTGAAATTTATTCACAACTGTTACACCACCACATTCAACCCAATAGTCGATGATTTTTCAATGTTCCAATCGCACGAGTCACAAATCGCGCGCCCATCCTCTTCCGGCTGACCCGATGAGTACGAAGCTCCAAGGTCGAGAATTCGGAAGCGAACGCTGTCTGCGTGAGAGAGTTGTCGATTTGCGATTTCATCGACTCTGGAAATCACCTTGGTCACCATCAAAGCTTGCTCTCTCTCTTCTTTGCTACACCATCGTCGTCGTCGTCATCACTTCATCTTCACACATCACACAATGGACGCCCTCGTTTACCGAAAGTGAGCATCAATCACACACTCGTCCCGTCAGCAGCATCTTCGGGTCCACTCGCAACGCGTGTCTCACCGGCTCTTGTAGCGAGAACGGCCTCGAGCAGACAAGGCCGATCGAAAGGAAACGCATGATGGTAGATCAATGCGGAAGGAGGACTTTTGAGACTGACAATGGACTTCTGATGGCTGGCTTCTTTTGTTACGAACAGGAACACCGTCCCTCAGCGACAGCGCGCTCTTCAGGCCGACCCTCGACCGGTCTTCCAGCGTCTCCCGCGCTCGCGCCTTTACATGGGTCTCTTCATGACCCTCTTCGGCGTCGGAATGTACGGTACCACCGTCGGCTTCTACAACATGGCTGTCGTACGTATCTCCTTCGCTTCTTCAATTTCGTTTGCGGTATCTATGTGACGATGTAGGCTGACCCGATTCCATTGCTTCCATCTCTTCCCGTGTTGATCTTCTGTAGGGCAAGAAGCGTCAATCGTAATCGTTGCGTCAACACCGGCTCATACACACGAGCTCTTGTAATCAGACCGCGCAAATACAAGAGTCGTTCCAGTTCCTTTCCGCACATGTGTGTGCGCGCAGACAGAAAGAAGGAAGCATGTCCCCTCTGAAGAGGCAATCTCTCAATCAGCAACAAACACGAAAGAAAGCAGTTCACAACGCTAGGGTAGAAAAGGTACGGCATTACCCTCTACATGACGCATTGAAAGCTTCGTCGGGTGTTCCGGTTCAATCGTCGTCCTCGACGATATCCAGTTCATCATTCTCCAACAGATCATGCAGGTACGCACTGAAAGCGTACAGTGGGAAGCCGACAACGTTGTTGTAATCGCCCTCGATCGATCGCACCAGCAACGATCCCCGTCCCTGTATTCACCCGGGTGGCACGCGGTGAGACGATGTTCGTGTCAGTGTTTCCTTCGAGAATGAGGGGAGAAAGAGAGAGAGAGGAAAATACTCACCTGGATCGCAAAGCCGCCAGCTCGGTCGACGCCTTCTTTGGAATCCACGTACGCTTTGAGCATGTAGTACGGGTTGTCCGCGAACCGCACGATTGTTTTCTCGCACAGTGATCTGTTGTTGTTCGGATGTGCAAAGGTTTGTCAGGTCTGAATCAGCTTCACATGCGTGACACGGCGGTGGGCTCGATGTTCTAACGCACCTCATCTGGAATCCCGGCGCCTCAATCACCGGGTAGATCACTGTGACACCTGTCACCACCTCGCACTGCACAACGCAATCAAGCAAAGCGGTCAGCCCAACTGCATTCGCCGCGTTCGTACAACTGCGCGACAACACTTACAGAGCCTCCGTTGAGATCCGCAAGCATCCGAAGGTTGTCCTGCTGATCAGTGGGCTTCTCCATGATGACTTCGTTCTTGACTACGACGGTATCGGCGGAGATGACAAAGTCTGGAGGATCTTCTGGGTTCTCTTGCTGTTGCAATGCAGACGAAGAAATGACGTTACGAGTTCAGCGGTGTTGCTCTTGCGTTGGTCTCCATTGTCGCCGAAGAGTGTGCTACTTACCACTAGTCGCTGATATACTTCGAGAGCCTGTATCACGTCAGACACGGATAGCAATAGTATCTTTGTCAGGCTCTTTCGCTCTGCCAAGTCGATTGGAGCCGAAAGTGTCGTTCTGAGACTCACCTTCTTCGACCCGGTCTGAACGGGGTATTCGTACACAGCTTCGCCGGTAAACTCGCTCTTTGGCAGGTTCTCTTCAAACGTGCTTGGCACGATCTCCGGTATCAGACCCTGTAGCGGTACATCGCAGACATCTGTCAGCATTGCCCCTCGTCTCCTCCCGTCTTCCTTCAGAGCGGCAACTCACGACTGAGGCCAGAATGTCTTTGCGCCGCGGACTCGAGCTGGCGAGAATAACACGTTTGCCCGCCAGCTTGTTGAACAGCGGCGTTGCTAGTGCGAATGGCGTCACTGGGTCCGGTCTTGTCGTTGACATTGTGTGATTGTCGTGCTAGCGATGCACGATGAAACAGTAGAGAGATGGCGGTTGCGAGGAGCAGAGGAGGAAGGTGTCAAATTGTCTGTGCACCGCTTTTCTCGACGTTGTTCAGCTCATTTTTTGTTGTGGAGGAGAGGGGTTCGGAAAATATCCAGCATGGTAGCATCATTCTAAAACCACCGAGGTGGCTACCTGATACCTTCCCTCGTCACAACATGAAAGCTTTGGCCAGACACATGCTCAGGATTGCATGTGGGACTTGTACCACAGACACAAACATAGATCAGCTCATGCATGGATGGCAAATCGTGCCTTGACGAAGCTTTCATCTACAGGTCTCTGATCGTGCTCGTGATACAATTACAACTTGGCAGACGGTGTCAAAGGCGAGCGCTGTTCTGCCAGAGCTTGCTCGACGAGCTATGGCAGTAACGATCACCACCATCCAAAGCAGACATATTGCTCGTCAGTCGTCAAGCTACACCCATCGACGTTGTACTGGCAAGGCCACTTACCTCTTTAGCATCTAGTGCCGCACCCCACGAAGCTTGATAGCCAGCGCCGCCATACCTGTGGTTGCGACAGACGTGAGTCAGCGTCCTTGTCGTCTCTTCCGAGTCTATTGACGTTTCCGAGCGAACTCACCCATAGTTGTGGACAACCTTGACCCCGTCCACATCTTCTTTTGCCCTCTCCAACCGCACTCCACCTCTCCTTGCCGGTCTCAATCCGACGTTGACTTCCAGGACCTTGACATCCTCCACTCTCGGCTTGCTCAGCCCCGACCTCTTCCTCGGGTCCACCAGCTGAGGCACCAGCTCTAGACACCGCTCCAGAATCTTTCTGGTTGTCTCTGGTCTCGGTCGACCATCCCAGTCATCGATGATGCGGGTACCTCCGCAAATTACTGTTCCGTCTCCCCTGGGAATCACGTAGACCTCTCTCCCGCCTTGGGCTCTGACTATGGAGTATCCAGGAAGCTTGTGTCGAGGTTTCAACGACCAGATGGGAAGAGTGTCATCGGTGGAGAGCCAAGGCGCATGCACGACGACCACCTGGCCTCGTTGAGGGTGTACTGCTTGGTCTGTGAGACCGTGGATGAATCGCGCGCCAAGTCCGGGGCTGGCAACCAGCACGTCGACTTTTCCAACTGATACCCAGGCTGAAGAGTCCTTGCAGATTGTCTGATGGGGCGGTGGATATGAAGCCAGTTGGATGGCTTCTTGAAGGGACTTCGCGTCAGCAATGACGAGGCGACCACCAAGGTCGAGAAAGCGTTGCAAGAGGCATTTGTGATACAGCGGTACGTTGATGTCGAGAGTTGAGAACGTGCAGCCCCATCCATGACCGCTGGCGAGACTGGACGAGGGGATGATCTTGAACTGTTACCAAGAGAGAACGAACGTGATCAGATGATGGACAGAACAGTACCGGGAGGGAGCAACAGCATGCGACTTACATCCGGATACCAATCCAGCACACCTTCGTAAGGCGGTCTCTTTGATTCAGAAACACTAGCCTTCTCGAACAGCTCGGTCTGATGCACCCACACCAGTGGTTCTGCTGATCCTTGCACGTCCTTGCTGATCCGTCCGCGTGGAATTGGGAGGATCGGCGAGGAGGTGCGAGCCAGTGGCGGAGTCGTTTGCTTTGCCCAAGGTCGTTCACGAGCTAGCTTGCTCATGCGCTCAAACGTGATCTTGTCGTGTCCTGTCCTGACCAAAAGCGGCGTTGATCAGCCTGTCTCCTTTCGCTGTGCCAGGCGTGTTGGGAGAGCTCTACTTACGCAACTCGCGTTCAGACTTTGCATCACTTACATGGTGAGCTCCCTGCCAACAGAGAAGTCATAGCAGCGTCAGCAAGGACTTGTTTGCGCCATTCTCCGATCGACCGAGCACACTCACCGCCCAAACACTAGCATACTCTGCGGAATGACCCTCTGCATCACCAGCGCTCTTCTTTCGACTCTCTTCGTCAAGGTCAGGAACCTCTTTAGACACGATCGAAACATACCTCCTCGAGCATCGAGCTTTTCCCGCTTGACCTTCCAAGATGGCTACCGCAGTAGACAGGCCGATGACGCCACAACCGAGAATCGCAACGTGACTCGAAGAATCCGCCATGTTCGACTTGACCAGCTTGAGTGCTTGCTGTCGATACAGATAAAGGTGAAGTAGGAAGCCATGAAATCTCGTCCATGAGATCTGTGACGGCTCGAAAGTGCACCGATCCGAAGCCCGAAAAATTCCCCGTGAATCATACCGAGCGCACAGACCGAGAGACTGATGGCACGTTGATACCTTGATTTGAGGATCAAGCTGCGGAAGTCTCTGTTCTACAGTGGTAGTACATGTTACAACAAATCGAAAACGAACAAATCTTGTCCAGAAAGGCTCGAAGAAGGAGAAGAAGTACAAATGGAAGATCGGGAGACGGGGAGATCAAGAGTCCTCAGCTTCCGACTTGTCGGTCGAGCGAACATTGGACTGCGCTGCCATCTTTTTGGAGGTGCTAGTGAGACCCAACGAGATTCGCTTGATGCCGAGGGTCCCACTGCTCGACCCATTCTTGCCGGCATCCTTTCCAGCAGGAGAGGAGGCGGAAGAAGCAGACCTCGGCGAGCTGCTGCCGGAATCTCTCCTGGGCGACGAGGTGGCTTCATCTGCGCGAGAAGCTTTCGCTCTTTTCGGCGAGGGCGACCGAGAGCCCTCGCGTTTATCGCCACCACCGAATGTATTGCTGATCGAGTTGGCCACGCTGCGGATAAAGCCACCGGGAGCTGGCGTGCTAGAGCTCGAGTCGTCTTCACCTGGCGGCGAGCGTGCCTGAGCTGAAGTCTTGCCTTTGCCTTTGGGCGTGCGGCCGGGCTTTCGCTTCGACAGACGTGAGAGCTGATCGTCGGCTTCGTCGTCCTCCTCCAATCTCCTTCGCTTCTCTGGCACCCTGGAAGGCGACGGGCTTGGCGATGAGCCTGCTGATGCTCCCTTCTTCCCGCCGACCTGAGCGATCGAAGTTTCCTCGCTTATGTCCTCGTTGTCCTCATCTTCGTCGTAAGGAACCAGACCAATCGCGCTGCGCTTGTTGCGTCCCTCGCCTTCCTTCTCATCATCTTCGCCCTGGAAGTAGCTCTCCTCCTCCGCATCCGCCGTCGCCAAGCCGACCTGACCGCGTCCAGCCTCTGTCTGCTGTCGAGACTTGTCCTCCATGTCACCAGATCGTGGCGCGGAATCACTGGACTCTTGCTGGGGAAGCGGCTCTTGATTCTTCTCCCACTGACCTACCAACAGGGAGAAGCAGGGAGCGGCGTATGACGATTCCGCAAGCCGACGCATGCGTGCTCCGTGCCGATCCATGCAGTGGCTGATGAGCCCCTTCATGTTTTCTCTTCGCATGTGCTCGAAGAAATCAAGGCATGCGGAGGAGACCAGATTGTTGCGATCGCCTTCCGCTTCGATGAGCCCGAGAATGGTGGAGAAAAGCTCGATCTTGACAAAGTGACGGTTGGTGAACTGGTTGTTGCTCGCCAAGCAGTACTTGAAGAAGCGAAGCGCCGATAGACGGAGGAACTTCTCGCGTGAATGCAGCAACGAGCCGACCTTTTTCGAGATTTCGGAGGTGAGCACAAAGTACTGGCTCCTGAAGGAATGGTGGGCGATCATGTGGCAGAGCAGATCACAAAGGTGTCCGTAGAGGGCTGAACGATGCCGAGGGTGCGAAGGCAGCTTCTCGCCTTTGGATAGCACGCGGAAGTCGGGAAGCGTGTTGAACGGCGAACAGAGTCGGCCGATCTCGGCTTCGTAGATCCACGTCAAGAAGCGGTCCGGATCCGCTTTCGCCTTGTTGAACCCCTGCACAGATAGCACCTGCGCTTGCGTCGCCAATGGACCGCCGTCGGAGGCGACATCAAAGATGATGCGCATGGCTTCGGCGATCTGCGTCTTGAGACCCGGGTCGCGCTCGTTCTGCAACATGTCAATCATCATGCTGATCAGCGAATGTGTATTTGAATCGACCTGCGATACCACGTGGGCGCGGACGCTGTTGGCGTCATACTCGATGATAGTCATAAGGATTTCGGCTGCGGCGTTGCGTGCAGTTTGCCCTAGACGCTCGAGCGCGTACTGGAGGACGTTGAGAAGACCCCAGTCGGTGAGGGTGCGGTAGAGCGAGATGCGGGCAGGCAGCTGGATGAGCTTGCCCATGGCGCAGAGCTGCTGTAGGAAGAGCACGCCCTCGGATCGCCTCTCTTCGGGCTCGTCTGGACTCATGAGCATGCGGAACAGCTCGCCGAGGAAGACGTCATTCTGGCAGCAGTAGTTGACAATGTCGTTCTGGTGGAAGAAGATGAACGAGTTGAGGATCGAGACGGTGGGATCGTCCACGACGCGGGCAAGGATGACGTCGCGGAGGTAAAGGAGACGGTAGGTTTGGTGGATCTTGGCCACGATCATCGGATCGCCGATGTCGACCACCTGCTTGAAGCGTGCGCGCTGCGTGAGATGGTCACGATAGTTGGCCTTCAAGCGCGGAAACTCGGGGTCGTACTCGAGCATGCCCACGACGCCCAAAAAGACGTCGTCCTGCAAGATGTATTCGAAAAGAAAGCTGTCGTTGAGCAAGAGAAGAGTCTGCATGATTGTGCAAAGCATGTGCAACGACGGCAGTGCCTCTAGCTCCTCGACGCTGTGGAAGAAGGGGACGAGCTTCCTGATGTAGTGCGACTCCATGAGCCAAGCGGTGAGCTTTTCCCGCATCATGGGACCGCGCGCGGTCGTGTCCTTGAGCATGGCATCGATCTTTTCGAGATTGGCGAGACTCGGGTCGGGCAATCCTTTGTAATCACCCATGAGATTGAGAAGAGGCTCGAGACCCGAGCCTGACGCTGACATGCCGAGCACCCCGACGGGTGAGTGAGGATTGGGCGTTGTTGGTGGCGAATCGGTGAGTGCCTCCTCGGCGAGACCCATGAAATGTTTCTGGACCTCGGTGAGGAATTCCCAGACCTCGTTGCAGCCCTCCGCTTCCTGGAAGCTGAGTGCCATGTCGACGCCGGTTGGTTCTGTCCACACGACGAGCGTGTCTTGTTGGCGTTGGTAGACTTCCTCCTTGACGACCTTGCTTGCAAGCAAGATGTCTTCGGATTCGAGATTCTCGCTGACGACGACGACAAACTGGCACGGTTGCGCTTGCGTCGCCGGCGCCTTTGGGGTCGTTCCGGCCGCATCGTCTTCAGCACCAGCAGCGCCCAGTATTGGCCCGTTTTCGTCGACGTCCGCCTCGGTCGGAACGTCGATACCCTCGAGAAACTGGCACCTTTCTTCCCTCCGTGCGACCAAAAGGGCTTCGTCGACAGTCTCGTCGTACACACCGGCGCAATAACCCGTCCCCCTGTCGAACCACGTCTCTCCTTTGAGCTCGTACACCTTGACGCGCCGAGCGGAGCCGCACTGGTGGTAGTTGCCTCGCGATACGGTGGATGTCAGCGTGAGCGCCTCGTTGGACGATGCAGAGAGGTCGCCAGCCGCGTCCTCTTCGAGCGGAATGGCATTGCTGTTGAGCATGGATGGAAGAGGTGCGTTGATAGCTGCGCGGTAATCGTCGGCGGCGTGTTCGGCGTCCACATTGGCATCCAAGGCAGCTTCTGTCGATGAATCTGAGTGTTCTACTGGTGCTGCAGTCGCTGCAAACTGATCTGCTTGTAGTGTGAGGACCTCGTCGGGTATGTCGGGCAGGTTGGCATTTGCAAAAGTGTGTTGGGACAGCTCGGGAGCGATCGTCGCCAATCCGGTGTCAGCGCTGATCGGTAAGACGGTGGACACCTCAGAGGAGCCGATGGAAGGATCGACATTGATTAGAACGTCGACGGCGTCCAAACTCGCTTCGGGCGGCGCCACGGACTGTACTGTCTCTGCATCAGTCAGTGTCGACGATTGCGCTGGAGGTGATCGGGCATTACAATTCTGTGCCGCAAGGCTCTCATCGGGCTCTACGGGAGGCTCGAACTTGCCCTGGGCGGCTGAATCAGCTGCACCTTCGGTCGCCATAGCATGCGCTTTGCCGTGTTGGCTGAGGAGCAGGGCAAGGTTTTGCGAAGGGGCATTCAAGGTGACAGAGGATTCTTCAAGGACGCGCAAGCGTGCTGCTTAGTGTCGTGACTCCATGAGCGATGTGCGAGGATAGAACAACTGCGTCTCCGTCTTTGAATGTCGAGCAGGTTGTGCAGGGCCGATTCGAAGGTCGTGTGTGAGGTCGGAAGCCAGGACGCGAGATGGGATCCTGCTAGAGATTCTGCGGCCACCAGTCGCAGCTGGGGATGTGTGAACGGTCGTGCGGTCGTGCGAAGGATCGCGATGCGTCGAGGATGACAAGTGATGGGCGCCGATTATGATGAGGATGTTGGTGGCGATGGCGACGGTGACGGCGGTCAAGAGATGCGATGAGACTGCGATGCGGTGCGGTGCGATGCGATGAGAAAATGGACCCTGATTCGAGTGCGGATTCTGGCGACGAGAGCGGCGAGTCCGACGCGCTTCTCTCGCTTCCCGCAAGCCTCTTTCCTGTGGGCCGTTTCCTGCGCGAATTTCCAACGCTCGTCATTCTCTCTCTCTTTCACTCGCCCTCGTCAGCTGCTCAGGAGCCACGGTCAGAAGGCAAGGCCGTACCGGGAATTCTCAGCGGCTGGACACTGTGCTAGGATCGACGGAACGTTTTCTGCACATGCATAAGTCAGCGGCACACGAGTAGGTGATTCGGATCCTTGCCATGCCGTCCAAAAGTTGAATTTATCCTCGGGCTGCTGTCTGCTTCCGCACACTGCATCGTCGGCACACTCTGCAACTGCAGGTTGGTGCCACCAACACATTGGCGTCAGGCACGTCGCACTTCATCTCAACTACGTAGCCCACGACACAAGCGCGTGGCGAACAAGGTTCCACACGGTGTCGCTTCGGGAGTAGTAGACCGTCGAGCTTGAGACGTTCCCCCTCATTGTCATTGCCGTGACCCTGCATGTATCTTATCGCCAGCACTGCATGTTGTATATCGTCGAGCACAGATTGAGATGAACGACCTGAGACTTGCTAAGAAAAGAGTGATGAATGTTACAGCGTAAAATCTTCAAGGAATGTGAAATTCGAAAGTGTGGAGGATACTGGGCCAGAAGCCAAGACTCTTCGCTTTTCGGGGCCGCTGACCGCGAACCCTGAACCTTTTTTTTTTTTGATGTTTTCTCTTGGTTCTTCCAAACTTTTTGGAAAGCCTTGTTCCTTCTGAGAACCGCCCAAGCATTTCCCACTCATACCTTCTCTCTCCCATACATCTTCTCCCTTCATCTCTAACTTTAGCCAGCCAGTGGGATACGTGTTGCCGGACGAAGTGGGATCGACAAAACATCTTAGCGTGGCTCTGTCAGGATGGTGCGCTCGTACCTTCGCCACGAGCCAACGTCGGCGTTCGGACTGATCTGTTCAGCTTCGGCCAATTCGATTCTCGATCCTGACACCAAGACCGCCTTCGTACCTGCGCTCGAAGACGTCCTTGTTTGGGATGTACGAAGAGGAACTCTGCTCGCCACCTGGCACGAAATCGGTCATCGATCCAAAGTGACCGCTCTGGCCAGATCGCCCACGGATCCCGACACCTTTGCCGTCGGCTACGAAGACGGAAGCATCCGATTGTGGTCTGCCGACACCCATTCGACCTCGGTCACTTTCAACGGTCACAAAAAGGCAGTCATTGCTCTCACCTTTGACAGCCAAGGCTTGCGAGTCGCCAGTGCCAGTCTCGACACAGACGTCATCCTTTGGGATCTCGTGGCCGAGACTGGTCTGTATCGCCTGCGTGGCCACCGTGATGCCGTCACTGCTATCGCCTTTGTTCAGCTACCATCGACTTTGCACGACCAGAATGGTCCCTCTTCCTCCAACGGTGCGCATACTGACTCTAGCGCCGCTGGCTATCTGCTCAGCACCTCCAAAGATGGTCTCTTGAAATTGTGGGATCTATCTCTGCAACACTGCGTCGAGACCGTTGTCCACGGCTCGAATGAGATTTGGAGCCTGGCAGTCTCGCAGGATGTACCGCTCGCCATGCAGGTCTCCGCAAAGGCACAGCAGACGGAGGAAGATGGCGACGAAGCGACCGATAGCAACGCAAACGCGGACGGCGGTGCGCTCGTCCTCACCGGAAGTGCCGATGGCGACATCAAAGTGTGGGAAATCCCTGCCAGTGCCCTCTCACGCGGACTTCAGACTGTCTCGGACAGAGACGACTCCGCCTCTGGCTCTTCCGAAAAGTTCATCGTGCCCAAGGGCAGTATTCCGCTTTCGGGAAAGCACCGTGTCACGCAGATCGACTTCTGTGGTGTGCCTAAGCGTCGGGGCAGAACGGCAGCCGCTTCGTCGACCAGCGGGCAAGGCTACATCGCTGTCTCTAGCACCGACAAGGCGGTTCAGGTCTTCCGACTGCGCTCGACCCAGGAGATGTCGAAAAAGATGGAGCGTCGTAGGAAACGCAACAAGGAGAAAGCCGATAAGAAAAGAGCAAAGGAAGTGGCCAGCTCGACTGCGGTGGAGAACGCATCCGATGCGGCGCAAGATCAAGTGACCTGGTCCGACCGGATCGAGTCATACACCAGTGTACGACCCCTGGCGGGCAAGCTAAAGAGCTTTTCGCTCGTGACCCCCCGCTCAGGCTCAACAGCATCCAGCAAATTTGGCCTCAGCGTTCTCTGCGCCCTCGCCAGTAACGCTCTCGAGATCTACAGCGTTCCTTCACCACCGCGTACCAAAGCCGAGAAGGCCAACCCGATCGAGCCGGTCCTCGCGAGCGCACTGGAATCACCAGGACATCGATCCGACATTCGCGCTGTTGCCCTTTCCACGGACGACAACCTGCTCGCGTCTGCATGCGGTGCGGGTCAACTCAAGATCTGGAACGTCCAGACGGGTCGATGCGTCCGAACGCTTCCATGCGGATACGCTCTGTCGGTAGCATGGCTCCCCGGCGACCAGCACGTCCTCGTCGGGTGCAAAGACGGATCGCTTCGCAGCTTTGACGTCCGAGCTGGTATCGCTGTAGAGACGATCGATGCGCACCAAGGTCCCCTGTGGAGCGTGGCCGTGCAGCCGGATGGGCTTGGCTGCGTTTCCGCTAGCGCCGACAAGGAAGTCAAGTTCTGGGAGTTCGAGATGCAGGCGCCTGAAGACGACAGCGACAGCGAAGACAACGAGTCGGGAGAGGCGAACGGAACGGGCAAAGCCAAACCACCCCCACAACTATCGCTCGTCCACGTGCGAACGCTCAAGATGACCGACGACGTGCTCTGCGCACGCTTCTCACCCAACGGCAAACTTCTCGCCCTCTCCCTACTCGACAACACGGTCAAGGTCTTCTTCGCCGACTCGCTCAAATTCTTCCTCTCGCTCTACGGTCACAAACTTCCCGTTCTGTCGCTCGATATTTCCAGCGACAGCAAGCTCTGTGTCACCGTTTCCGCCGACAAGAACGTCAAGATCTGGGGTCTCGACTTTGGCGACTGCCACAAGTCCATCTTTGCGCACAACGAGAGCATCATGGGCGTATGTTTCGAGCGAGGCCAACAGGGTGGAGGGTTGATGGGTGGTAGGCAGGGTGAATCGCATCACTTCTGGACGGTGGGTAAGGACGGATTGTTGAAGCACTGGGATGGAGATAACTTTCAAATGATCCAGCAGTTAGAAGGGCACCATGGCGAGGTGTGGGCTGTTGCACCGGGACATGCCGGAAAAGTGGTGGTGACGGCTGGTGCGGATCGAAGCATCAGGACATGGGAGAAGACGGACGAACCGTTGTTCTTGGAGGAGGAGAGGGAGAGGGAGATGGAAAGGGCATTTGAGAGCGCAGGCCAGAATAGGGGGGACGACGAACGCGCGATCGGAGAGTTGGCTGATGGTGCCGATGCTGATGGTCAAGGGGCGACGGGAGTGAATGGACCGGAGGCGACGGCTGTCTCCAAGAGCACGAGGGAGACCATGATGGCGGGAGAACGCTTGGTCGAAGCATTGGATACGGCCGACGCCGATGTTTCCGCTCGTCTTGCCGCTCGAGCTGCGGGTCAAGCCGAACCAGCCTACCATGCCCTCATCATGGCCGAGTTCGAATCTTCACGAACTCGTTCTCCCGTGGATGAAGACATCTCCGCTCAAAAGTACGTCCTTCGAGTCGTCGAAAAGATCCTACCCGCCCAACTCGACGATGCACTCCTCGTGCTCCCATTCGACAAAGTACTCTCTCTGCTCAAATACCTCGATTTCTGGGCTAGGAAAGAGTGGAACATTCCTCTCGTCTCACGCATCCTCTTCTTCCTCCTCCGTACGCACCACAATCAGATCGTAGCCAACAGAGTCATGCGTCCTACGCTGCTCGATCTCAAGTCTCACCTCAAACAGGCTCTGGCTAGACAGAAGGCGACGATCGGATTCAACCTGGCAGCGTTGAAGTTCATCAAGGCTCAACACGTGGCTGCCAAGACGAGCGAGATCTACGAGAGACAAGGGCTGGACGTGGATGAGGACGACGTCAGGAGGAAGATCGAGGCCAACGCTGCTAGGAAGCGAAAGATTCGGGTTGCGTAAGATTCGGGTTGCGTAGATGGGCATGGCATTTTGAGCCACAGCTCTATCTCGTGAAGTTCAACGGCTTTGGGTTGCCCATGCTCTGCGCTCATCGTATCTCTTACTCTTTGTGCACATTCATCCTCGATTCGTCGATTTTAGTTTGCAATTGACTGATTGATCAGCTGTTGTACAGATGTGTCTCGGAACTTTTAAGGCGAGTCCCGAAGACAAGAAAATACATTTATAGGCTCAAAAGGTTGTGCCATTCGATCCCGTCCAACGAAGTCGAGGAGGCTTGACGAACAACTACTCGAGGAGAAGTCACTTTAGCATTCGTTGAGTGAATCGCCCTCGGTCATTATTGGTGCGTTCCTTTGCCGGAACGGAAGTGTTGCGATGCTCTTGTTTGACTGTGTTGCAAAGCCGACCAAGACTGGTAGCGACCTCTATGCTGCCGTTGGCTTCGAGCTCGACAAAAACAGCTTTGACCCCATTCCTTTGCGTGGGGGCCGCCACGTGATCTTCATCGCTGGAAGAGCCGGTTAGGTCGATCAAAGTGTCCTCGAGCTTCACTCTGGACGATGGCGGCTCGTGGCGGTAACCGCTCCCATACAGCAAGGTTGTATCGGGGCCATCGTCTTCGCGTTCCCTCTTTGCTCGGTTCAGGGGCAAGTCCATGGACATGAGATTCGACCCGTAGACGTGCGTGATACTCGAGCTGCCTGCATGCTCGACGGGCGAGCTTGAACGACTCGATGCAGCCGACATTCCATCGCTCGACAAGGCGTATGTCGGTGATGCCCCGCGTCGACGCCGAATAGCTCGTGGCGTTTGCTCGGAAGAGCTGTCTTCGGTGACCGCAAGGCGGGATCGAGAGGAGGGATGGTATGGCGTAAGGCGCAAGGGAGGCGCCCAGTCGTTCGTTGCTTCTTCGTCGTCGGAACTTTCGTCCAGTGCCGCCGGGTGCAAGGCTGCTTGGCGAGATTGAGCAGTCTTACCGCGGACGACTTGATCCGCCCACCGAAGCTGCTTCGACAAAGACGCGTCGAACCTCATCTCCCTTTCTATTGATTTGAGCGAATTTGGAGCAATGCTTTCGACCAGATCTAGTGGGTCATTCTGCGAAAGCAATACCTCGCAATATCCTTGTGGAGGGAGCATGATACTGGATGCTGTGTGGTGTTTGCTGGCCCCCAAAGTGGATGAGCTGCCGGTGTGATAGTGTTGTGCCGATCGTATCCCCTCGTCGATCGCTCTGAGAGTCGGATCACCATGGCAATCGACGTCGATTGACAAGAGACCGGCAAGGTCCTGCTCTTCGTACGGCGCTGCGCGCAAGATGGCATCGTCAGCTTCCTGCTGTTGAGCCTCTTGTTCGACACGTCTCTGGAGTCGCTTGTGCAAATGGATCCAGGGCTCGTGCTCCTGTCCGTCCCCTGGCTGTACGATGAATGGATCGAACGTCTTTTGTTTGAGCTCAATCTGGCGCTTCGTACGTTTTCGTTGGTCAAGAAGAGGCAATTTGGGGTTGGCACTGTCTGATACGGGAATCCTGGGGATGGTTTTCGGAGCGGAAGCGATTTTGCCAAGTGCAGCAAAGATCTTCGAGGCTAGGTTTGGGTTGATCTCTGCTTTCTTGGGTCGCCAAATCTTTCGATTGTGGCTCGAGAGCATGACGTCGCTATGGTACTGCGCATGGTGCATTGCCAAAGCGTCGTAAGAGGTGATGGGTGCTTTATAGGAGCACTGATTGGCGATGCAAGCATATCTGAGTCCCATTTGACGCGTGAAGTGATCGTGCACCAAATGTGCAGCGAGGCCGGCGGAATCGTAGTGGCGATTGAAGCAGCTGTCCCACTTGCATGCGATCTTGGAATGTATGTCGTTGGTGTGAGAATGCTGCTGAGGCTCTGTGTGCTGCTGGAGCACATGTCGTGCAAGGAGGGTGGGTGTCATGAGGCGAGCATGACAATACTTGTGCCCGACAGGACCGAGTACACCCTTCTTGTCACGCAGACGCCATTTGCAGATGTAGAGATCGTGGTTGGACGGTGGGACGCGCTTGGACGACATGAATGCATCATCTCCAAAAGGGTCGGAGACATCGACCGGTTGATCATGATGGGCATTGCGGCTTCTGTGACTATGGCTACGGCTGCCGGTGGACAGGGCGCGAGACGAGGAAGAAGACGAAGAGGAGGGGCTCGAAGGTCGCCGCGAAAGCGGTGATGACGAGACCAAATTCGACAAGGAGGAAGACGGTTGAGGTCTATTGAGTTTGATCCGCGGGGCTGTTACCGGTTCGAACGCTGATGACGAAGAGGAAGCGGTCGGGATGCTGAGCCTTGACGAGGAAGCCTGTGGTAATCTTGACGATGAAGCTATTGATGAAGGCGACGAAGAGGAGGCGGAAGGCTTGTGGTTGGACGCTGATGAAGAAGGAACTCTTGTTGATGATGATGATGATGATGACGAGGATAATGATGATGATAATGACGATGATGGCACTGGGGGTGCGCTGCGCAGATTATCATAAGTGAGCGTCTGGCGCTGTTTCGATGGCGAATTCGAGACGGAGCGACGCTTGCTCTGATCACCATCGTTTGCTGGGATTAGGACCACGACCGAAGGCATATCCTTGTGCGATGCGGACGGTGGAGGTTTCATTGCAAGGGCAGAGGCTCGACCGTGGTGGCCATGCCGAGCCTCAAGAAGCGGCCTCGATGAGCGAGATTGTCGAGGTGATCAGCACGCGGCCCATCGTGTGGAAAGGTGCAGATAGAATAGCAAGAGTCGGAAAGCGGAGAGGACCCGTTCGGCGCGTGTTGGTCATGTCAAATTGATGGTCCTTGCTCACTCGCGTTCTAGTGGAGCGTGACGGGGTCTAGACTGTAATTATTTCACCGTCGTCCAAGAAGGATGCTGCGAAGTGTCACTCTTGTTCTTTCGGGCTTGAAAAAGAGAGCCTAAGCTTCTGTGCGAGGCTTGACGTGCCAGTGACACCCGTGCGCGGTTTCAGTGTGATTATTCTGGTTCGAAAAAAGGGTGCGGCTGTGAGTGAGTCGAGCAAGAGACTGGCTTGCTGCGAAATGCTGTGCTCCGCTGTGCCGATTCAAATTCTTCCAGTCGGAGTCTGATAAGCGCATGAATGGTCTCTTCTGCTGGTCAAAGCTTGGCAGTCGAGTCGAATCCCCTCCTCTTGCCACCACCTCCATCTCTGCCAAGTCTTTGATCGCATCGGGACATTCCGATCACCAAAGACATATTGTCAGCAACTCGATCAATCGGAAGCTGATCCATCTCCTTTCATCTCTCATGCACGGTGCTGGTCGCCACGCCGTATCTCGGTCAAGCCTCGTTGTTGACAACCGCCTCGGTTGATCCGTTGATCTTCCGAGCTATCGCCAAACCCACTTCATCGACTGCTTCTCCTCCCACTCGGACTTCCTCGTGCAGTCTCATTGCACACGTATCGGCCTCTCCCCGCGCAGATCAGCACCAGTGATTGCTCGCCACTTTGCTGTCAGAGGCGGCAAGAAGGCACCATGGCGTCGGGATTCCTCGATGCTCTCTTCCGTCGCCCGCAGAGGCTGATCCTGCTGGTCACCATCTTCCTTTTCCTCCTCACCTTCTCTACCTACGTCTCCTTCTCGTCCACTGGCGCCCAGAATGTTCGCGATCGATGGAATTCGCTCCCCGCCTTCTCCAACCCCTGGCAGTCTCCCAACAAAGGCGCATCTTCCTACACGCCCCCGAGCTCGGTCGCTGATATGTACACACACAACCCTGGCACTCCATCTTCCATCGACGAGCTCTCCAAATGGGCTCAGACCGGAGACGACGGCAACCTCTACCCTCCCACCTTTATCCCGCAAATGGCCAACCAGGGCCCACGCGCCAAAGCTGGTTTCATCGTCCTCGTCCGAAACGCCGAGCTTCAAGGCATGCGCGAGTCGATGCGAGACGTCGAGGAGAAGTTCAACCGCAAGTACGGCTATCCTTGGATCTTTCTCAACAACGAACCTTTCACCGAAGAATTCAAGCGCGGCGTTCGACAGATGACCCGCAGCGAATGTCGTTTCGGTTTGATCCCCAAAGAGCACTGGGGCTACCCTGAATGGATCAGCCAGGAGAAGGCTGCCGAGACCCGCGTCAAGATGAAGGACATCATCTACGGCTCCTCCGAAAGCTACCGTCACATGTGCCGATACCAGTCTGGCTTCTTCTTCCGCCACGAACTCACCCTCGACCTTGACTACTACTGGCGTGTCGAGCCAGGCATCAAGCTCTACTGCGACATCGACTACGATCCTTTCGTATTTATGCAGATGAACAACAAAACATACGGGTTCACCATGGCGCTCTACGAGTATCACGACACTGTTCCGACTCTATGGGACGAGACGAAAAAGTTCATCGCTGCGCATCCCGACTATCTTGCCAAGAACAACGGTCTGCATTTTATGACCGACGAGCCGGAAAAATTGCTCGAACCTGGATGGAACATGTGCCACATGTGGTCAAACTTCGAAATCGGTGACCTTCGCTTCTGGCGCTCACAACAGTACATGGACTACTTCACCTGGCTCGACAAGGCAGGAGGATTCTTCTACGAGCGATGGGGAGATGCTCCTGTGCACTCCATCGCAGTGGTTCTGTTGCTGGACAAGAGTCGCTTGCATCACTTTGACGACATTGGGTACTTCCACAACCCCTGGAACCACTGCCCTGCCAATCGCAAGAAGTATCACGACACGGGTAGGTGCAACTGCGATCCAAAGCAGTCGTTCGACCGTGAAGGTTACTCCTGTCTGCCAAAGTGGTGGCGCGGAGCTGTTGAGGGTGAGCCGAAGTAGAACTTTTCAGCCTGGCTTCGATCAAGGACTCCATTAGGTCGCGCGGAGCCTTATGTGACACCGTGCGGGAGTACGACAGTGGACATATCAATCTCGTATCTTTCCCTTACATTTCTCAATCAAACTTGCATCACTGTAATTCGACTGTGACACCTGCCGAGACGGGCCCGGCGGTGTGATGAAGGACCACGGATGAGCGACGTCCCACCCGCACAGGTCGGGTTCGCTCCGATTACACCCGACTCATTGCTGTACAAGATGACGGTAGAAAGCGTCCACCACACCGGGATGACTCCTAACCAGTCCTCTCCAATTGATCCAGCCGAACGGTTCATCCCCTCTCGCATACAGATCTCCCCGCGGAACATCGCTGATGATCTCCCCGCCGTTTCTCTTCGACTCTGCCTGCTTCCAAGTATCCACAAGCTCCTTGCTGAATCGTTCCGAATCCAGTGGTTTGAGGAAAGTGTTAAGAGCGGGGGAGCTGAAGAAGGCGATTGAAAAGCGATCCTTTTGGGCGTCAGGATTGGAAACGACACGGTGGGTGGCAGATTGAACAATGCCGTTGGTCAAGTGTTCTACCTGTTGACCAAAGTTGACGATGATCGAGTTGTCGACGTGCGGGATGGAGATCCAGTTCCCGGCAAAATCTTGTCCTTCGAGACCGCCAACTTCGGAGGAAGGGGCTAGGAGAGTGAGCCAGCCGCTGTCTTTGTGCGCTCCGACGCCTTGGGTGCTGGTGGGATCGTGGCGGTGAATTCCGTCGACGGTGGTTCCGGTGGGGTAGCGAATGGTTTTCATCCGTGCGTAGGGTAGAGGACCCAGTGCGTTGAGAGATGCCTCGGCTGCGGTCGTTTTCCCGGTGAGAAATTGGGATAGTTCACCCTCGTCAACACCTAGGGCGAGTTCGATCGCTCGAGTGAGTTGATTCGAGATCTCCTCCGCGGTCTCGAACCAATCCAACACAATACTACGATGTCCATCCAACACTTCGTCCGGTAGGAACTGGTTCGGTCCGTACAGGTTCAAGAATGGCCATCGCTCCAATGGTCCTTCGTCCTTGATGGGCTCGACTTCAGGGGCATAATCCACTTGATCCCTCAAATCCTGCTTTTGCTGCGTACGTTCGTCTCCAAACTTGCAATACCCTCGAAAATGTCGACTCGAATCCATATCGATCCTCATTCGGGTCGAGAGAGGTAGAGAGAAGAAGCGCGATACGAGCGAAAACATTCGGTCGCGCTTGGTCGAGAGCGGCGTGTCATGGAGGTAGAAGAATCCGATCCCTACCATGGCTGAGCGGAGTGAGGAGACGAAGCGGAGGGAGGACGGGGAGTGTGGGTTGAGCGGATCCCATAGCGAGTAGTCGAGGTGGTAGTCGGTGAATGATGACAGGGATCGCTGAGCCGGAGTGGAGACGTTTGGTGCGTCCTTGGAAGAGGTTGCGTTAGGTGCAGGAGTGGAAGCGACAGCTGTCGGCGCCATGACAGGCGAAGCGTGGCCGATAGGATCCGCGGCAGATATATCTGAGCGCGCTGCTTGCAGTGGTCGGTTGATGCGATCGACCTCCAGCAGTAGACTGAGCAGTGAGCCGTGTCAAGTCGGATAGAGATTGTGTTCTGATGTGATGTTGTGATGGTGACAAGAAGCGGGACTTTGTGGTGTCCTCCCCGGCACAGTGTGGAGAATCTTGGAGGACGTGCGCCGCAACTTGAGATGTGCGGATTTACGCCTTTTTTTGGCGTGAGCGGTTGCAGCCAGTCAAGTAGCGCAACGAAACAAGACGTGCTCTGCTGCCGGATTGGCATCACCATTCTCCGCTCACGCCAGGGTCCTAAATTGCCTCTCAAGCTTGTCCTCTCACAAGCGTCAGGGGCGCCGTGATCGTGGTATAACTGAGTCCATTGATTCATACGGTGGAGGAAAATTAGCTACATGAAAAGCATGTTGAGACTTTTACAGTCGAGTAGCCTTGTAGAAACTAGCATACATATTGACGTTATCAATTGGCTTGCCAGTCTCTCGGATGTGAACGGGCTCGACCTTGAAACCCATCTTTTCGAACCTCTGGTTGTACCACGGCCTCTTCGCCGCACTTCTGTAGAACACGGCACCGCCACTTCGGACAACGCGTGACAGCTCGCAGATCTCCCGGTCGAGATCCGAGACCGACTTGTCCGAGTCCTTGCGCGCCTGCTTGATTGTCGGTGCGGGTCTGGAAGCGGGGACGGGGTCGAACCAATCCATGTGGTCCATGGTGATGGCCCTCGTCAAAGCGCCGTCTTCGAAACCGCGGAGGACATTGACGATCGAGTCAGTGTGAAGACGGAACGAGTCGAGACCATCTTCGAGCGCCTGCTTCTTGAGTGCGGCGAATCCATCGGGTTTGAGGTAGAGCGGGCAGCTCTGCTTGGTGTATTTGTGCAAGAGGCACAGTTGATAGTGGTAGTTGTCGTTCTTGATCAGGCTGCGACTGGGGATAGAGTCGAGCGTGTCGATGGCGAACTGCTCGGCCGAGATTCCTTCATCGAGGAAGATTTGGTACTGGTTCATGGGAACACCCAGGGCGTTCCACAGGAAGGCGGGGTTGGAAAGGAAGAGGCGGATCAGAGGCTTGTTGATCAGAGTAGAGCGGAGCTTCTTGTTCCAAACGTCTTGCTGCTCTTCAACCGAATTGGCGGTGCACATCTTCTCGACCCATCGTCGTACACCAGTCACGGTGAAGGCGAACTTGGCGAGTCGCAAAGCGTGACCAGAGTATCCGCGGAAGTAGAAGGCCTTGTCGAAAGCACGAGTGTTGAGCCTCCAGAACTGGTACGCATGCGAAGAGAGGTAAGGCGAGATCTTGCTGTCGAGCAGCTCGCGGAAGTTGTCGATACGACCCTCGCCGAACATCTGCCACATCTCGTCGTACGTGAGCGAGGCAATGCAGGCCAGCTTGAGTTCGAGCAAGTGTCCCTGGCATGGGTTCATGTCGACAGCGTGGATCCTGCGCGGCTTACCAGCAACGGCGTAGTGGAGTGCATTGTCACCGGCCGAAGTGATGCAGAGGATCGAATCGTCCTTGCCCAGGTTGAGGTGCTGCATGTCGACGTAGGGATCTTCCCAGGTGAAACCGTAGATCCAGGTGCGGAACATGTCGCTGAATTCATTGTCAACGAAGGGAAGACGCCATTGTCGCTTTTGGTAGTGGAACGAGCTCAGAGGGAAGTGAGGCCCGATGTCGAGCTTGAGAGGTCGGTCAGAGTCGGCGTCGCTCTCAGTGGTCGCTTCCGAGACCCTTCGTCGGATGAGCCTGCGAGCTGGCTCGAATCGGCTGCTGGCATCTTGGCTGGCGTCAACGCCCGTGGAGGTTGCCGAAGGCTTCTTGGAGAGCGTCTCTTCATCGTGCATAAAGGCGAGCTCAGGAAAGGAAGGCGGCACAACGACGCGGTTGCCCGACTCGACCTCGAAAGCTTGAAGTGCCTTGTTGGTGTCGCGTTCGCGAGAAACGCCGAGCCAGATGTAGTAGGGAATTCGAACGATGAATGGAATGATAAAGTTGTTGCGTCCGTTGTAGCACTTGATGGTTCCGAACTTGTGCTCGAGGTAGTCGCGACGAGCAGGGTGCAGTTCGATGTGGTCGAGCGAGAACCACATGCTCCAGAACCAGCGGCTGAGCCAGCCGCACTGACGTCGGGTGTCACCGCCAATCATGGGGCTCTTTTCGGTAGAGGCGCTCTTGCCAGAAACGTAAAAGTCAACAACGCCGAAGACACCCGTGACGGGGTCGAGGAACTCGTTGATACGGTCGAGTACGGCGTAAAAGGGAGGAATCATCGAAATCGAGTAGCTGCAGGTGAACAGATCCACTTTTTGTCCGGCGGCAAGACCAGGCATGTTGAACTGGCTGGCGTCTTGACAGAGGACCTGTACATTCTTGAACCCCTTGGCAGCGAATCGCTTGCGGGCGACCTCGAGAAGCGGCTCGCATAGGTCAATCAGGTAGACCTGGGAGAGCTGATCTATGGGAAAATGCTCGTTCATCTGCTCAATGTTCCAGCCAGTACCACCACCGATGTCGACCCAGACAAGAGGCTTTCCAGGATTGGAAGCCTGCATGTCGCGGAGCTGAGCAGCACAAAGCTTGAGCATGGTGGTTCGGCCCTTGAGGAGCCCGGAGCGAGTAGCATCGTAGACTGTAGAGAAAGCCAAGGAGCAAGTGGGAAGATCAGCATTCATACTCAGTCTCTCGAATTTGGTAGGGCTCGGATCTTATTCAGCACTTACCACTGGCTTGGTTCTGGTAGAACTTGTCGAGACGTTCAGCCTGGTTGGCGGTTTTTCCGAGAGGCTGGAGGAAGCAGGTGTAGCTGAAAACGAGGATGTCGCGGACTTTCTGGCTGACAGCGGCAGCCACACCGACAAGGGTGATGAAAGCGGTAGCCACAGCGGTCATGTTAACCAGAGGGGCAGGAGCAAGGTGGTAGAGATGTGCCAAAGGTGTAGCAGCTACGTGTTGCTCGACGAAGTTGAACATCTTGGCACAAATGTGTGACGAATGATGAAAATGAGGTGAGCGATGAACGGCTGAGAACAGAAAGACTCGTTCAGAGAATTGGCAATTTGACGATCGCAGCAGATGCGGGGAAGTGACAGCTGGAACGAAGGTTCAGCTGTAGCGGGAACTTCTTTGCGACTGGAGCCGAGGGTAAGTATCGCAGCGTTGAGCTGTGACAGGGGAGGATGAGGTTGAACAAGGCCTAGAGGGGAGGCACGCGATGAGTTGATGGTCGGGAAGGGGAATATACAACACTGAAAGAAGATCTTCTTAAAGGAAGGGACGTCCAAGGCAGGAGGTAACGCACGGGGAGCCTCGCCAGCTGGAGGCATTGGAGGAATGTTCATGTGAGGACCGGCCACACTTGCTGGGTGGCGCGTGGCATGGCACAAGCTCCTGGATCAAAGGGCAACTGGCTCGAAGCTCGTCGGACGACATGCCCGCTGCCGCTCGTGTGCGTGGCTTCCAAAGAAACACTTTCATACCAGATACACACGCGCGGCGTGGACCCCGTCGCTGCTGCAGGACTTGCTCCCACCCTCTCCGAGGTGTGTGAAGCTCGCACAGGCCAGTCTCGACAAGGCATCCGAAGTGCCCAATTATCTACAGTGGTCGAAGAGGACCGCTCGAGACAGACGCGGGGCGTGTAGGAAGTTCGTGAGGCAGAGACTAGCAACGGACAAAGGATTAGACTCACGTCGGCTGTCGCTTTTCCTTTCAGCTGTGTGCTTGACCTTGGCTGCTCGTGCCGTGGCTCAAGAGGGCGGCGACGGTCTCCAGCTCATTCGCGCTGCAATTTGAGCCAGTCGAAGGCCGCAAGCTTGTGTTGAACTGGTTGCATTGTTGAGAAGATTGTATACGGTGACCAGAACCGATGTACGAGAAGGAACGTGCGGAGGAGCCTAAATTTTCAACAGGTCGGCAATCAAGGAAACTCGCGGCTGCAAGGGCTGCCGTGTTCTGCCATCATGCAGGTGAGAGCTTCTTGTCTCACGTCGACCCTGAACGCTCTTGGAATGACTTTGCCGGTCGCTCAGTCGGCCATCCTTCCAAGCCCTCGGGAGCGCTCAGATATGGTCACACGAAGAGAAAGCTCAGCAACCCGTATCCGCGAGCAAGTGAGGTGAATACGACAAGACCCGTAAACATGATGGGCAACGGTTGCCGCCGTGGTACGGTGCGATGCACAGAGATCGGTACAGAGAGCAGCGGCTAATGCGGAGCGCAGTGTGACACGAGGCAATTCTTCTCGTGGAGCTTGCACGTTCGCTCGGCAGTGCGAGACTGGTCCGTGCTGAATTAAAGTGGGAACGTGTTCACTCGAGCTGTTGCAAAATTCGCCGTCCGCTCATGCACGTCCAAAGATGCAAGCAACCCTGCGAGCTCCGTTGAACCCTGCTTTTGTCCAAATACAAGGTTTGAGCGTAAGCTCGCTCGCTCTCTACGAGCAAAACTGTGAACGGCAGCAACTGGGATATCGCATTGTGACAAGAGTTATTGTTGCGAAGCTTGCCGGAGAGCTTAAACGAAGTATAGGAGACTGACTGCAGTAGAGGATCTTCCACGTCATTCCGCTTGTGACAACTGTGGATGGTTGCTTCAGGCAACAGATTGCTTTCGGGAAGGTGGTAAGCCGTCTCTACCTGGGCACGGCTGTCATGGTGTTGTCACGACATTTCTCGGTGGACAACCTCTGAGAATGAGACTAGGCTCGAGAAAATACTCTATTGTTTGATTTTCTCCGAACGAACAATTTCAATCTTGATCTCAACACGATCTCACAAATCGGCTTTCGATCTCGTTTTGGACGAGGTCAGGCGAGAGGTGACAGTTTCGTCACGCAGACTAGTCGAGCCAGGATTCTCAGCTCCGAGACCTCTTGCCCCGCTACCATCCCCTCCTTCGTCACTGCGACTGTATCAAAGATGGAGATCGACTTTGCCAATCGCGATCAGGCGGCTCAAGCGGCAGGCGAGCCCATCGCTTTTCCCCTTCTCCAGCTCATCAGCGAAGCTCGCAACGAGCACGGTATGCGACAGCAGGACTTCGCCCGCTACCGACGATATTGCGCCTCCAAGTCCCACCGCTTGCGAGAACTTCTTTCCATCACTCATGCCGATGCCTCTCACAAGGTCGACGCTAAGAAAACCAAGGGCGCAAAAGCTGCCAGGGGCAAGAAGCCTAAGAAGGCTCAGCAGGCTGCTGCTCAGAGTGCAGACGCCAAAGGCCACGGAAACGTCTTCACCGCCAAAAAACTCGACATTGCTCAGGTTGCCGATGCTCGTCCCGCTCATCTTCTTCTCTTCGAGGCCGAACGAGCATGGGCGTATTCACAGGAGCTCCGAGCCGAAGCCTTTGACGACGAGGCCAACCCCCAGTTGCGCAAACGCGGCATCTCCAGGCTTCGACGTGCCGAGCAGTGGTCCGACTCCCTTTACAAGCTTGTGCAGGCGCTCTCGGCTCGATTCGACGTCTACGCTCGCGCCGAGACGGCTGCCTATCTGCTCATCGTCAAGGCCACCACCGCTTTCGACCGCTCCCAGTCCGAAAAGGCTCTCCAGACGCTCTCCGTCGCCCGCAAGCTGCTGAATGCCATCGCATCCAACAGTGCTACCAGCCGCGCAGAGGCGCTCGCCAACAGCTTCGTCGATGCTGGCGAAGCTCAGATGCGCTACTCAGCCTACCAGCTTGGCAACTCGGAGCAGGACATGGACAAGATCGCTGCCTCCACAGCCACAACCGAAATCTGCGAACAGATCCTGCCCGGGCACGCCCAGCTCGTGCAGGAGCTGGCTTCCGCCAAGGAAAAGGCTGGAAGCACCAAGAAGCAGGCGCTTTCGCTCAACTGGCATGGACGTGACATTCCAGTGCGAAACCCTGAGTTGCTGGACACCATCGTTGCCGCTCAATCTGAGGAGGCTTCCCTGCGTGAGTCGGTCAAAGTCGAGGCTATCAGCGACAAGGCCGCTGAAGCTGCTTTCGCCGCTGATCGCAAGTCCAAGTCTGCTCTCCCTGAAAGCAAAGATGGCAAGCGTGTTCGTCTCTCGCATGCCCAGCGAAAGGCCAAGAAGCGCGAAATCGCCCAGGGAGAATCTTCGGCCGATGGTGCCCGCAGCGCTGCCAACACCGCTACAGCACGACTCGGCAAAGGTGGTCGCACCGAGCTCGATCCCTTCGATCGCGCCCTCAGTGCCTTCACGGATGCCGAGGACGTCGCACGCAAACTTGTCGAGGACAATGCCGAGGCGCTCTCCAAGAGCCACTCGGCCAGGTACGAGACTGCTAGTAAGGATCTGCAAACCGCCCACGATCTCATCTTTTACCGTCTGCTCGCCCTTCGTGTCTGGCGCAACTTGCGCCTCGTTGCTGAAGTCGAGCGACGTGCCGAGAAGCGTGAAAAGCGCGCCATGTCTGGCGTCGAAGCGCGACTCAAGGGCAAAGCCAATCTTTCCTCCGCCTCGGCGGCTCAGAAGCGCAGTCACAAGAGCAAAGGCAAGCAGCAGAAGCTCCAAGAAGCTATTGCAGCCAAGAAGGCGCGAGGTCCTCGCAAGAATCCCCCTGGATCGCGTGCCAAGATGCCCCGCACCACCCCTCGCTCTCACGCACGCAAGCCGGCCAGGAGCGGCACCAGGAAGCTACGAACCCGTCAGGCTCTTGCTCGCGAGAACCGTGCTCGTGCCATCGCTGCGCAAAAGTCCAAGCGTCGCGGTGCGCGAGCCGTGCCATCGCTCGCCAAGCTTCTCGATGCTGCCGAGACGAGTCTCGTCGCAATGGGCTCGATCGGTCTCATCGAATCCGAGCCGGACGTCTCGAGTCTGGTCGAAGCCAAGGCGGCCTGGTTCCGAAGCGAGATCCTCCGTCACCTCGCCCGCGCCTTTTCGCTGTCGGGCGCTCACGCCGAAGCTGTGCTGCTGCTGACCCGCGCTCAGCTGTACATTCGACAGGCACGCCAAGCCGCCGATCTGGCTGAAGACGTCGACGAAGAGGATGCCGACTTCCCACCTCGTCTCAAGTCGAGCGATGGTCCCGATGCCGTCTTTGACCACTCGGATCAGGCGCTCGAGAGCCTCAAATGCGGAGTGCAGAAGTCGCTCCTCAAGGCTCAGCAAAGCAAACGCAAGTCGCGCGTCGGCAAAGGCAAGGCCAGCTCGTCCATGTCCGACTCGCGTGCTGGTCAAGCACTCCAAGAATTGGCACGAAAGTACATTGACTTCGACCCCGTTTCGCTGCAAGAAGCTCAAAAGGTGCCGGAAGATGTCAAGGTAGAGTACGAGAGGGAGCAGCAAGCCGCTTTGAACCCCACCGCTGCCCAAACGCAAGCCAAGGCGTCCAAAGCACCTAGCAAGTCCAAGCCGGCTGCCACTTCCGTGGCTAAAGCCGTCAAGGCAGAACCAGTGCAGCCGGTCGCCGACGAGGAGGCCGGCGAAGCGGAGCACTTTGAGGATCACGACGACGATGAGGACGATTCCGATGATGAGGGTGACTACTCGTTGGCCTACGACCCAGCAAATGCACTCGCCGAGGAGGAGGAAGCCAGGTTGGAAGCCGAAGCCGCCGCTAAGAAGAAAGGTTGGCTCGGCGGTTGGTTCGGTCGTGCCTAACTTTGTGGTGCATAAGAAGGAATCTTATGCTTGCACCCCAATATGGCCGTCTTCTTCCTGCATCATATCTCCACTCTGTACTCACTCACGCTGTCATCAATCATTTGCCAAGAAATCAAACATGTCTGACACCCAGTCCAGACAATCAGAGGCGCTACAAACACTTCAATTGCTGCAAAAGCCATCCACGCTGCAAACGCTGCTGAAGCCCGAGCCAGGGCAAGGCTTGAATATTCCCTGAACAGATTTGCCAAAAAACTAGATGTCTTCTCAGATCTAGGTCCCGGCAGAAACTTATGGGGCTCAGCCCTGTGTGTTGGCATTCACAAGCAGAACAATTAATCTGAACAAGTGCTCTGAAAGGCCCTGCAAGCTTTCCCTTGTAGCCTTCGCTGTCCAGGATCCTAGCAGCCCCACCGACGTTGAAGCACATCTTGCTTCCAATGCTCGACTCTTTCAGAATATGTCATCCCTACTTGCAGATGCATGTTGTTGTCCAAGGTAGGAGCGAGCACATGACGATGCCTCTGGTACGAGACGTTTGGTGAAGGTCTCATATGCACAGATTGCTGTCGAAATAAGTTTCAGGGCTGCTTATTGTGTCTACAAGACCCTTTGATGTCACATTTGCTGAGCTTCCAATGTGGACATCATGATGGCTGGTCTTCAACACATACGCCATCCAAACACAGTCTGGAAGTTTGGGCTTTTGCCAATTTTCAAGACAGGCTGTTTGCCAACGACGCAGATCTTGTGTTCTCAATTTGGCAGCTCTTCGTCCATCAGCTGCATTCACCTTCAAGAACGCTCGTGAAAGGCTGCAGATTCTTGCCATTACGTCTTTGGTGCTCTTTGGTGCCATGCGTGCTGGTGACATCTGCCCAGATGCAGGATACCCGAATCACTTCACCGTGCAATGGAAGCGCATCCTCTTCTTTGTCCATCAGGTCAATGGCCAAATGACTTTGGCAGTCATCATTACCCTCCGATACCTGAAAGGTGAGAAGTTTGACCACAACAAGCTTCGTCAGGTTCTCCTCAACTCAAGGCCTGATATCCCCACTCGCGTTGATCCTGTTCGACTCCTTGCAATTCTTGCTTGCTGCGATGCTGCAATGTTGGATGTGACCCATCCTGCACACTTGGAGGTCTCGGGCATGGCACCCTCCAACCTCGACCCTTCCACCAAGCGCTTTGAATTTGAGATCAGTCCCAACCTCAAGGAGACTACTGTCTTCCGCACAGTCAATCGGACTGGTGGAGAAT